TGTCGACTACTCTAGACTTGACATCCCAGTGATCCTCGTCGGGTTCGTGAAAAACTCTGCCCTGACATTTGAAACCATGTGTTACAGCCTTCGCCGATGGATTCGCGCTCCGGGGTTCGATCTCTCTCTTTGTGCTGTTGGTTACTTTCAATGTCTTGATCATCTCAGTAACCCGGTTCGGCGATAAACGGACGTCGTCAGTATCTTCCTTTGTACCTGTACAGATCTTTAGTCAGCATGACTCTCACTCTCAATCAATGGAACAGTCCTACGCTTCTTAGACGGCTCAAGGATAGAGTTCTGGGGTCTGATATCGAACGACGGGGCAGCGGCTTGGTTCGAGGTAGTGATCTGGGCCGGAATGACTTCTAGGGAGTCAATGCTTTTGTCCTTCTGAACTATTAGATAGTCAATGAAGTAGAATGTTTCTAGGTTGGGCAGATACTGAGCGAGAAATTCGTAGAGGTGGACCGGGTAGACTTTGGTGGCGAGGCCGGAGGAGCGGGTGCCGCAATGACCGCACCGAAAGCCGCCAACACTAGTTTCCCACGCGTGACAGTAGGGGATGGCGACGTGGCGGATATTGGCAAGTTCGTTGCATTTGATGGACTGCGAGATGCGACACCAACTTCGAAAGTCATCTGCGGACAGGTACTCAAGGCACACAATGTCAAAAGAGCCGCCAAGCGAGACGACGCGGTCGCCCTTCAGCTTTAAGCCACCAGGTGCACTCGTCAGGCGTCGAACGACCTTGGCTGACTCGAAGCAAGTAGCGGAAAGCTTCTTGAGGACTTGATTGGTAGAGACGTAGTTGGAGATGTTGGCTTGGGGCGTCGGGTATCGGGGCTCCAGTATGGCGGGCCAGACCCTCGTAGGTACACTCTCTTGAGCAAAGTCGAGAAGAACATCGTCTTCGTCCTTGGTATCTTGGTCACCGAGTGACCCTGGCGGCATTGGAGAGGGGTAATGGGTGATGCGAGCTGCAGTCCTGAGGCGTAGAAAGTGCATGCCTGGTTCGAAAATGGCATCCTCCCAGATCTGCTCTCGGATTTCGGGCGGCAAACGCGAGAAGCAAGTGAAGGAGCGAGCGGACGCCGGAATATCAAACTTGACTGGTGATGCCATTGTGAAATTATTCTGCTTCTGCTCTCTTGATTGTCGGTATCCAAAGCGAGCGGATTGAGAGACTGATGGGGAACTAGCGATGGTGGATGGTTCCATGAGATGGGATAGTGAGGATGCTGTTGTGTCTGATGGAGATATTAGTGGAAGAATGTTGTCTGCTGGAGAGAGGCGGTTAGATAGGCGACACGCCCTCTTGGCAGGCGGTAGTGGGATGGGCCATTCCATTTTGTGGCGGCGGGCAGTGAATCACGCACTCGGGCGAAGGTTCCGAGATGCTCTTGACTTGACTTGGGGTGAAAGTCGGAAAGTATTGAAGAAAGTGACGGCGAGAGAAGAGGACGAGGTAAGGGTGGTGTTGGTGCGTACCTAGGTACCTGAAAGAACGTACCTTAAGGTAGTAGGAGGAGCTCCCTCACCAGTCACGTGTAGGCTACCTAGGTAACAATGAGGTGAGATGAAGGTAGCGATCCAGTTAGCAGTGAATCGGAATAGAAGGTGCAAAGGACTTTAGGGCAATTGATTTTCATGTTGAAGGTTGGCAACCCCACTCGGCCTACTGCCTTACCTTTGCGGACAACAGAAGGCTGAAGGAAGGAGCGATTAGGATGCTCATGTCAGTAACGATTTAGGAGTTTTGCGACTCCTCTTCATTTTCAGGTGGTTGTTTGTACACTCTACCAGGTGCCTTGAGACAGTATTGCGAGTGAGTTCATTTCATTTTCGGATTTGAGGTACATACTCGTGCGAGATTTGCCATCATTCACGAGGAATCAACAGGTCTTTGGTCACTCGTGAGTTTCGCAATTTACGTCAAGTTAAGGGAACACAGTGAAGTAAACTTGGACAAGAATGCGGTTTCTTCAGTAGGAATGAACAAAGAGGCGCTCGGTACCAACATGAGTGTATTGATTAAACCATTGAGTACATTCAGTTACTCAAGGAGACATAAGGAGGTTGAAGGAGGCGACCATGGCTGGTGTAAGGTAGCTGACGGCATCAAAATTCGGAGCCGACTCGGACCTGTGAGGTACGTACCCTCCCCAGAACCCACCCGACGTACCTGTGCCCAGCAGAGGTGCATTCCACGTAAGGTACCTTGTACCCCAAGACCCTGAAAGCTTCCGGAAGCTTACCATCAGACGACGAAAAGCCTCCGACTGAGCCAAGCTTGCGAAACTTCCGATACCTTCCTGTCCATTTCATCCGCAGCTATGCCATCAAACTCAGTCAAAGCATACATCGCTGCATCGACCAGTATGAGTATGGCCTTCGCGACCCACCCGAACCAGAAGCGGTCTGCCTGCGAGCGATGCCGCCGCCAAAAGCTCCGATGCTCCCGCCAAGACGACGAGAACGGGACACGCTGCACGCGGTGCGTAGAGCGGGGCATGGATTGCGTCGCCGGTCACCAGCGCCGCATTGGAAGACCGTCAAGACGCATGACCTTGGACCACGCGATGCCGAAGCGTCTACCAGAGATTTCTGTCCCCTCCACCAACACAGACGGTGAACAACGACCGGCCTACTCTGTGACCCATGATAGCCTTCCCGGTTACTCGCCACTAGACCCCTCAACGAGCACGACGGCGTTGGGTCACGGAACCACCACTGAAACGACTATCTCTTTGGACTACCATCTGGATGACTTTCCCTGGAATATGTCCCTCGATCCTCAGTTGGACAGCTCCATCTCCGTCCAGATGGCAGAAGAGGAGATGGGGCGCATAACCAGCACACCTCAGATCGCAGATCCGGCAACTCAGAATGAAGCTTTCGTCAAAATCTCAAAGATCAACGTCGATCTTCACTCCTATCTGTCAAGTATTGAGATTAACAGACCGCATCTTGACTTTTGCTCCTTCACCCACCCATCCTCAATCCTCAGCGTCAGCGGTCGCACCATGCCGGAGCTCGTCCTCGTCGCCTTCCAGGACTTTGTCAGCATTCTGACAGGCCTGAACAAAATGGCTAGCATTCATCGAAGTGCGTCGCCAACGACTAATACCTCAGCCGCTCGACCAGCACTGGCAGAGGGTGAATTATACTCTGAGTCTGGCTCATTGAACCCCTTGCTACTCGTGCGCGGCAGAGCATCTTCGCCGCTCGCTCTCCAAGCCGCTGTCCCCAGCACCAACGTCCTCGACCAGCCGCTAGTTCTCATCATTACTAGCTGCTACGTACAAATCATCGCAATCTTTGAGGACATATTCGTCCAGATACACAAGAGACTAGAGGCAATCGCTTGGGACCCAATTCAGCCGATCGAAGGGATCAAGTTTGGCGCCTTTCCAATAGAAGATGCCCATCTTCAAGGTGTCATTTTCTCCCAGATTGTCGAAAGTCTACTGGAAAAAGCTGATCGATTTCTCGGCGTCCATCAACCCATGGAATCCCCGTCAGGGACCGTCATGTCATCGAGACTTTTGTCCCCTATTCAGTCTGATCTTCTCCATGGCCAGCTCGAATCCAAGGACCAAGCCTCCGTACCAAGGTCTGTCGGGCTCAAGATTGCTATTCAACGCTTGCGATCGACTTTGGAGGCAGCAGCATGATTACAAGCCAAGGATGGGAATGTCTGTATCATGGAAGGAAAAGCGACAATAACCTGATGTCCACCCCATAAGAAGGTAATACGTCAAGCCCTCCCTCCACCAGTAAAGAAATCCGAGTCTCTTGTACTACTGGCACTCAAGGCCCGCTGCTTAAGCAATGCCGAGCATGCCATTGATGCAGATGTACCCTCACTCTACCCTCTCGGCCCACAACGGCGCACCGATCCCGTTGACATCGGCACCGCCCCCCGAATGTGTGCTGCGGAATCATCCAGCTCAACGTTTCAATGGGCGGGTTACTCGGCAGAAACTCCTACCGGCATGCCTCATCCCGTCCACGTCAACACTCGAGCCCAATCGGCATAGTTCATCCGCGCGGCAGATTGCTCCCGTTTGCGCACTCATTCGACCTCAAATCTGCTTACATCGGCACCATCTACTCCACCATACCCTCGGTGGAACCCATGAAAAATCGGTAGATATATACCTGGAGCAGCCCCCCTTCGACAGCGTCTTGGCACCCGTGCCATGGCTCAAGACCTTCGATATCAGTTGACGGGCTCGTAGGGATAGGCCCCTAGGTACCAGTAGGAAGCTGCCCGCCTACACATTCTTGTCCCCTCCCCCTTTTCAAATCTCTCTTCCGCTAGACCCCCACATCTTCATCTATTCGTGACAAACATTCACACTACCTGCGGCACAGCGGTCTGCTATCCGATTCTATCGTCCGTTGAAATCTCTTCTACGGAGGCAGGAAGCCAGCAACACGCTTGGAAGAGATGGGTACTTGTCAACAGCTCAAGGAACAAACCCTGGCGACAGGATAGCGGGCATCAGCAGCATGCCATCAGTCTGTGACGAGCGCTGAGTTAGGGTCTTCTGGCGCCCTATTCAACGAATACCACGTCGTGGTCTCGACATCTCAACATCAATCCATGAAAGGCCTGGGAGCTGGTAAAGGGGTAAGCCAAGCCGAGCAAGACTTTTCATCACGAATGGCAGTCACTTCACAGAACGAGGCAGGCACGGACAAGGCTGTTTTGAACAGATATACATTGCAAAGCTTGAAAGACGCCCAGCTGCAAAAAAGGTGCGCTAGACGCCTGTGGTGGTGGTCGACTGAAAAAAGGGTGTTGTGCTTGCAGCGATATATACACCGGGTATAAATCTATTTACATGGTTGTTTGAGAAACGAATCAATGTGCTCATTCAGAGACCTCATTCCAAGTGGAACAAGGCCTCGTATTTTCTTTCCTCCTGGTTTTTCACCTGCACGCACACACGCACACACGCACACACACACACACTGCATTCTACCAACGCTTAGTGGCGGAGGCGGAAAGAGCGAGCGTGGCGGCGAGCCTTCTTGGCGCAGGCATCGTCAGCAGCGCCGGAGACGGCGGGAGTGGCAGAGGGAGCGGTGGTGGAGGGAGCAGAGGGAGTGGCGGGGGTGGTGCTGTTGGAGCCAGAGCCAGATCCAGAGCCAGAACCAGAGCCAGAGCCGGAGCCGTAGAGGGCAGGGCCAGGGATGGTGTAGCTGGAGATGGTGGCGTAGGGGTTGAACTGGATACCGGCGTCGGTGTTCTTGTACAGCGCAGTGCCGAGGGTTCCCTCGGGGTTGGCGGTGCCGGAGCCAGTGATCTTGACGTTGACGCACTGGGGGTAGTTCTGGGCACCGTTCAGGGAGCCAGCACCGTGCATGGCAATGATCTCGTGGCGGAGAACGTAGTTGCCGGCGGCGAGGTCGGAGGGGATGGTGGTGGTCCAGGTGTTGTTGTTGGCAATGAGCTTGGTGGCAGCCCACTCCTGGGTGGCGATATCAATGCCAGACTCGTCAATCTTGACCCACTTGAGGGTGGTCTTGTCGACGGAGGCCCAGTCGTCACCGTCGACCTTTGCGGCGTAGGTGAGGACGGGACCAAAGTGAGACTCGGGCCAAGCGGACCACTCGAAGTCGACGGTGCCACCGGCAGCGACGGTGGAGGCGACGGCGCCAGGAGCACCGTTCTTGTGGCAGTTGATGTCGGCGGAGGCGTAGCCGGTGCCGTCGACGAAGCCGTTGTCGAGGTTCTCGGCGGACCAGGCAGAGATGGAGGGGGGAGTGCCGCCGTTCTGCTTGAGGTAGTAGTAGTCGAGCTTGTAGCCGGCCTCGTAGGCGCCGTCGAACTTGAAGCCGGTGACGGTGCCGTGGGCGAGAGCGCTAGCGGCGAAGGCGCCAACGAGGGCGATGGTGGACTTGACGGAAGACATTTTTGGAAAGGTCGGGGTTGTTGGGATGGTCCTGTGGGAAAAAAGAAGGAGGAAGGGTTGGGAAGAGAATGAATGAGCTTGAATTCGTTGGATGTAAGAGTTTTTGCAAAAGAATGTCCCAGCTTCACACAGTGAAGAACTGACGGTTGACGGTTTGGAAAAAGAATGAAGTGGTGAAAGAACCAAAGAATGTGTGCGACCTGCAATGTTGGATGAAGAACCAAGAGGGAAAGGATATCAAACAAAGCGAGGACATCGTCGTGTTATTTATCCCACCGGGAGGCTCTTGTGTAAGATGCCAAGCAAGCAAACCCCCCTTTCGTCCTTTTCCAGCTCTCAACTATTCCCAACCTGGTCGAGTCCAGTTCCTTCTTGCCAAGATAGTCCTACAAGCGCCTGATAGCTGAGCCGCCCCCTCAACCCTACTTCGTAGTGAAGTGGGAGCAGGGCCGGGTGGAGATTGCAGAAACTTCATAAGACCGAAACACCAATATGCAAACCAGAGTGGTGGAATTTTGGGGGGGTGGCACCCGTCGTGGCCGGGGAGAGGAGACCAACAGGTCCAACAGCGTCACAGCAGCCGGATGTGCTCCGATTTGGAAGGGATACCGGTCTAGGAAAGATGAGATGGACCGTTCCACTAGGAGGCGTAGGCGCTCAGTTTCGTAACGTCAGCCGTTGGGTTGTCTGGGCGCTCTGCCGTCCTCTCCCATGTTCAAAGCCTTGCAAGTTGATAGCCATGATCTGGCCCAGGGGCTCAAGCTGGGATCATGGCTGGGGTTGTGCGGCGCAAGGAAGGTGATGGCCATGATGGAGTCACCTGGGTATGCATGCTGTGCTGCTTGGGTCAGTATTGAATACATACCCAATGCCCAGTCCCAATAGTTTACTCATCATCAGCAAGAAGCCCTGGCGAACACGACTCTTTCGCCCAGAAATGGTGCGTGAGAGAAGCAGGGGATCCCGTAATAGTCATGGATCCCCCCCTTGCCATGGTAGCCGAGAGGCACTACATACTTATCAGCAAGCACGCAACTTGCAAGCGAGTTGTCAGAATTTGCCAGACTCGCCAGACTCGCCAGACTTGCCAGACTTGCCAGATTTGCCAGAGTGAGAACTTGAAAAGACTCTATTCGACTTAGTCATGGGGCAGAGTTACCACGTTGAGAGGGTGGCCGGCGGGAACTGTACAGATACGGCGCAGCACGGGCGCACCGGAATCTCAGACGTAGCGCCGGGCTTGAAACAGACCCTCCTGCCGCCCTTAATATGGGAAGGTAAATCATAGGAGGATCGGATGCGCGTTACCCAAATGCCACCACACTCTCCACCCAGACCTTGTCTTATTGCCAGTAACTTGTCTTGCTCTTGCAAGTTGACTTGCATCATACGGATACGCTCAACGATATCGTGATTCGTACTATCAGTGCGCAGTCTAAGTGGTTCGGAGCCGAAGATGATGACTAGAGGGGCTAGTGGTGACGACTGTTCGGATACGCCCCATCTTCGCGAGAGGAACCTGCAAATATGCATATCCCCATAGCTCCATTCTTGAGTGAGTGTCAAAGATGACCGTAAGACATAGTCCGAGTGCCGATGTTCGCCAGTGATGCATACTCTCCCGTTAGCCTCTCTCTCTCTCCTCTTATCCATATACTCATTCTCGACTCCTCGAGTGTCGCATTTCTGCGAGTCTGTAACTCTCTGTCAGCAAAACTGACAGTGAGTTGTGCAAGTGCCTCGGTCTCGCACTTCTCCGCATGGTCTGAATAATTAAGGTGTGGTTCCTAGTGCCATATTCCCCTGAGTATCGATCCACATTTCTCGCTGGCGCCCACGTTTTTTCTGTTCTTTTCCGATTGAATTTTTCTTTGCCTCGTTAGGTCCTACTTCCCGCCGTCCGGTCTGCCCCCTTTCACTATGGAGTATGGATCCCGTCGTGGCGCGCTGCTGAGCATACTGGGCCGCTGGCCTGTCGCATAGTGAGTGAATCTCGTTTCGGGCATTTCCATGCGTCGATCCACGTAGTCGAGATGAACTCGCCAAGACAACTGCCGCCAGACCGTTTCTTCTTTAATGCGCCGAGCCTCTAGGTCATTGGCGATTCCGTCTCGTTCCACGGTTCTACGGGTTCGTTTACTTATCAGTCAATCATCAGTCTGATTCTTTCCAACTCGTCGTCTGTGGGCACTTTCGATGAAACGGCGCCCGCATACCTGTCAGCGATGTAGCACCTTTGTCAACTTGTCGACCGTCAAGCGACTTGCCGACCAAATCTTCAAGCCTCTTGGAGTCTAAGCCGTAATAGACCATCTCAGTCTCCGACTCAACTTGGCACTTTCAAGACTCTTCGGCGCATGCCGTAACCGCTGTTCTCGTCCGTGACCGTCGAGTCTTGCCCTCTTCCCCTTGTTCCGGCGTGATCCATGAGCTGCACTTCACAGCGTCGCGCCGAGACGGCGTTGCGGCGCGTGATTCCTGTCCAAGGCCGCATTCGACAGGGCTGGTCGCCAAACGGTCGCCGCGTCACGAATCGTGATCCTAGCCTCAACCTTGATTGGGTTAGTGTTTGTTTGAGATAGACTTTGATGGTCGTCAAGCCCCCTCCCCTGACAGCGCTCTCTAAATCCGCTGCATATCAGAACTTCTGCTCGATATGACGACAACAGCGGTGAACACCAATTAATGTCTGCAGGCTGTGAGTTGCAAGCGGTGCAGGGGACATCTCTGCTCGGTATACGCAGCCGGTGTCTCATGGCAGATCGATTGCGTTAATGGCCCCCTTTCGTGCCCCTCTCGTCGACTCTTAATCCCGGCTGAGCATGTCAGCAGAGTTGTTTGCGGCAAAACTCTCGATTGAATCATTCTTTGGCCAAGCTTTTTGTTGCGTTCGATGAAGAAACTCTCTTTAAGAGAACTGTTTTACAAAAATGCCTGGATGGCTTCCCAGAACGCTGCAGGGCTCTCCCACATGGGAAGATGACCGGCGTTTGGCACAATCTTCAACTCGGCGCCGCTGTCGCCTAACGCACCCTTGAAGCCCTCCATTGCCTTGACCAGCGCACCTTTGGCGTCGCCATCACCCACGACCAGCAAGCCGGGAACTTGGCAAGAACCAAGCTCTGGCTTCAGATCATAGTCCCACAGCGCTTGGCAGCTATATCTGAAGCCTTCTACGTTGTTTGCTGCGACTATTTCCGTCATGGCTTTTACCACGTCCTCCTTCTCCAACGTGGCCGGATGGAACCACCGAACTACCGTCTGCTCGGCCAGCTTTGCGATTCCGGCTCCGCTATTCTCCTCTGCAACCGCGATGCGATCCTTCCAGGCCTGGGTGTTAGCCGCACTCGACGTCACGTTGAAATCGCAGGCGATAAACTTCTTCAGTCTATTGGGGTACCTGAGCGCAAAGTTGGTTGTTGTTGCGCCTCCCATCGACACTCCGATGAGGGCGTGCAGCTTGGGGATGCGAAGTGCATCAAGAACACTGCGCAGATCAGAGGCAAGCAAGTCCAGAGTTGCCGGCACAGGCGGGCCCGGGATGGCGTGTCGGCCTCGTGTGTCGTACCGCAGAATGCGCAAGTCGGGGCGCTGCTCCTTCAAGATCTTCACGACTGGATCCCACATGTGCAGAGACGTCAGCAGAGAATTGCAGAATGCTACGGTAGGTGCCTTGGGCGAAGGGTTGCCTTCCAGCTTGTAAGGGATCGAAAGTTGATCTTCGGCTGTGATGTACGAGTCGATGACCTCGTCCTTTCCGGGAACAGTAGTGGTCTTGCCATCCGGGGCTGTAAAGGTGGAAGCCGTGGCCGGCAGCTTGGCCAAATTCTCCAGGTCGCGAGAGGCGGGACCAAAGACGTAGAAGAGTGAGTAGGTACGGCGATTCATGCCTGCGACCTTCTTAACCATCTCTGCAGCCCAAGGAGTAGCGGTAGAGGCCTTGTGTTCGGGACCGCCCAAGCCATTTGTACGGGCGTAGTCATGGAGTACGAAGAAGGTAGTCTTGCTGCCGACGCCGTCGCCAATGGAGGAAATCTTGAAGAGACGGGTCCTCAACCAACCGGGAACCTTGGACAGCATCGGAATATGTTCTTCGGCGTACCACTTCTTGAACTCGGCCTCGTCTGACTCGTCCTTGAGAGTGGTCTCAATGGCCACGAGCTCGATGCCCTCGGCTTCTTCGTCGGAAAGCTGCTCAATGGGGATGAACAGAGGGGCCTTTTGCTCAATGGCCAAGTCGAAGAAGTATCTGGTGACGGCCACCTGGCCAATGGTTTCAGCCTCACGAGCAGATCTGTTTGCGCGGAGCGTGGTGTATGTGGGTGTCTCGAGGTGGGACATGTCCGTCACATCGTAGGAGGCGAGGTAGGTCGGCTCCTTGCCGTCGTTGGCGCGGTAGCGCAGGCCGTTGGTGAAGATTTGGGGGAGACGCAGGCGGGTTGGGCCGTGCTCGTTGTTGTACCACTCGTGGAACTGCTCGATAGCCAGTTCAGGCTTCGGCTGCATAGTAACGTAGAGCATTCCGGGGGGCGCCATGGTGAACACTTGACTCAATTGGTGTTGTCTGAGGTGTATTGTGAAGTTTGGACAGATTTGCAAAGGAGCAAAGACAATGGCCGGGGGAACTCGGTATGTAAGGTATTCAGTCAGGGTGACTTCGGGTGCCGTGGGAAGCTCGGGGCGGGGCTTATGACGAACGCGGGGTCGAAATTGGAGAGAGGGTCCAGCGCGTTCGGGATCTTGACACGGCAAGCTGTGCGACGGCAATTCAAGTCAATGCTTTCAAGGATGCTTTGAGGAAGTTTCTTCGATAGGACCGGTTTATCTCAATGGGACGATGTATCTCAGAGAATCCGCGTCTTGCCAACCCAAGGTGCGGTAACCGTGGGGACGAGGGGCGTCGGCCTCGGCCGTTGTCGAAATAAATAATCTGGCGCATTGTGGCGGAAAAGTGTTCTGCCAGCACCTTTCGCATCGCTGCCTCGCGATTGATGGCTGCCTCGCGATTGATGATTCTTCCAGGAGCATATGCTTGGAGCGATATCGGTGGTGGTAATGGGCCGTTTCGTTCAAGGCTATTGACTGAATATTCCCCTTGACTTGTCGCATCTGGATCTCGAAGCAAATAAGACTCTGCATCTCTCAAATGGAGGACTACTTCGCCACCGCGTAGAGCATCGCATTTTCTCAACGGCATCCGACGTGTGGATTTGATTAAGGTATTCCGTACGGTAAGGCAGGTGGAATGGGAAACGACGTCGAGGCTTCGGATGAAAATGGCAATCGGCTAGAACTCGGAAGAATTTGTCTAAGCCCCTGAGGTGAGATACGGACACCTTAAGCTCCTTCCCTCTTCAATCTTGAATCTGCCTGCCTGTTCGGAATGTTACAATGGTGAAGTATCAGATGGCAGGTTCATCGCTACCTGTAGCTTCCCATCCTTCTTTCCGCTCCTACCCCCACGCCCCAGTCAGTTTGATTGAAGGAAGCCACCAACGTCAACAAACCTGCCATCTGCCAACCGTCTCTTGCCACCTGCCAGTTCAATGGAGGGGCAGCGGTAGATGCCAGAGGCTAGCTCATAATCGCCGGCACTCTCCTTCTGGTTGGCTGAGTTGTGGTCTCCTGACCCGCTGCACATTAAGCGAAGAAGGACCGTGCTCTTTCGGGACTATGTAGAGGGAAGAAGGTTACCTTTGCGTGGGGCAGATAGCCATCTGATAGACCGAGCTTCGGGACGTTTGAAGCTTTTCGCAATCAACGTGTTCAGCAAGCTGGAGCTTCTCTTCCACGTCAGCGCGGGCATAATGAGACCGCATTTCATGGAATTTTCAGTAAATCGAATCGCTTCTGTAGCCCGCGACTTGACATCTCTCGCATCTCTTTTCATCCAGTCTTCACCGCTCCCTCGACAATCGCTGCAGCCACTGCAAACAGTGTCCGCTGGGTCGACCAAACATTGATGCAAACCAACCTGCAGTCTGCTCGCTGTTCCTTACCGTCCTGACCGTGTCCAATCGTTCCGAGCGGTGTACCTCTCGGATGTGACTGGCAAAAAACATGGAAAGAAGGGTGCGCCGTCGTTTTTCAATGTGTGCTGTGTGACCTAACAGGACTGATACTCGTTCCAGGTGTGAGATGCTCTCAATACACCCATTCACCTTCCATCGACAACCCCGGCGTCCGCTACACTTTGGCTTCTGCCTCTGGTTTAACTCGTCTATATACTCGCATTGCTCTTAAAACCAACTTCTGACTACCCGCACTCTTCGGGGGCTTCAGTCTCATCTTTAGCCCCGGCCTCGTCTCATAGTTTCAAGTCGAATAAACCTTGCCGCTTCCCATCACGAACTTGCTATTACTTTCGCAATGGAGGTCTTCCTGACCAACGTGCCTAGGCACCTTACGGATCGAACTCTGGAGAAGGAGCTTAGGCCGCACATGAATGCTCTCGGCATCCTTGAATGGGCATGCTCAACGAAGAGCAAGAACGACAAGGGCTGGGTGACGTTCCTCAAAGCAGAAGACGGAAAACGCTTTCTGAAACGTCATGGAAAGGTCATCCTTCCTGATGCTGGGGCTGCATTCAAGCCCACTTCGAAAGGAGGAAAGCCTCCAAAGGAACGGGCGAGAGCAAACCTGTTTCTAATGAACACCCATGTCTATGTGGCCCCAAGCAACAGACCACCCGACCCTTTCATGATCAAAAGTCTTACCCATCGTCTGGAGGAAAAACACAGACAGCGGACTCAGCAAGATGCTCCCTCTACCGACGACGCCATCGTTTTTCAAGTCAGCCACTTGGCTTGCGGCCACAACACTTTTCAGCCAGACAAGACCTTGACCTTCAACGAACAATGTCGCCTTTCTCAAAGAGGCCTAGCAAAGTTTGGCAAGAGAATGCTCATTCTAAAATTTGAGCAGGGAGTGAAAGTCGAGATCCCTCACTCCTCCATCGTCGAGATGATACACACATCTGTTCCCTCCAGTTTCACCCTTCTCCTCAGCGAACCACCACGCTTCTATCATACAAAGTCCGATTTGGAACAACAGATGGAACGTCTAGGCTTGGTCGATGATGCCAAGAGACCTCGGGGAAAGTCACTCACTCGTAGCCTTGGTCTATCCAGCAGTAGGGAACATTTGAAGTGCGCGGGAACATGTCTCGTCTACCAGCTGGGAATTTTCGGGCCCGACTTCGATCATAAGATCATCAGCCTCAAGAAGAAGGAAATCATCGTTATTGCGCACTCGAAAGTCGCTCTCAACCAGATGCCTATCTTTTACGGAGTTGACTACCACACTGAGTGGGCCAAATTCTACGATGGCCTAGTCAAGGCCGGATCCGCCAAGGCATTACCTTTTGGAATCCTGTTTCAGCTGCAGTCCTTGGTCTTCAACAACTTTTTGCATCCACGCAGTGCTCACACCATTTTGATGTCCCTAGAGAAATTGTTTCAAAGCGCCAAGTTAGATGGCAAGCCGGAGCCCGTTTCCCAGCAGGCGTTCAAGGTCTTGCATGGCACTGGCCACGATGGAATCGACTACCCGTGTCATAACACTGACCCAAGTGACCTGGATCCCAACGAGATTCTGAAATACCTCATCTCCACTGAGAAACGTCTGCAATCCGAAAGCAACATCGAGTTCAGAGATGTCCTGCTTGAGCCTGAGATAACCGATCATCATGCCTGGATTTTCAAGGCCACAGTGACCCCGACGAGAATCACCTTGCATGGACCTGATCTGGAGCCTCTCAATCGCATACTTCGCAAATATCCAAACCAGACGGACTATTTCATGAGAGTCACCTTCGCCGACGAAGATGGTAGTGATCTATTCTTCAGTGGCAAGGTTTCCTACGATAAAATCTTCGACCGCTACAAGAGCATCCTGGGCAAGGGCCTGGAGATTGCTGGTCGAGTCTATGGCTTTCTTGGGTTCTCCCACTCGTCACTGCGATCCCATTCAGCATGGTTTTCAGCTCCATTCTTTGACGATTGGAACAAACTGCAACTGTACGGAAACATCATCAAATCGTTAGGTGATTTCGACAAGATACAAATCCCGGCCAAGTGCGCCGCTCGCATCGGACAGGCCTTTTCGGAAACCCCCTCATTCATTTCCATCAGCGAGGCCGACATCAACCGCTGCTATATCCCGGATGTCAAATCAATGGAGGGGAAAACTGAACGCGTTTTCAGCGATGGTGTCGGCACAATCTCCCGCGAAGCTCTCGAGCTGATTTGGCCCCGCCTGCCACGAGGCTCGTTCCATTCTACTTGTTTGCAGATCAGGTGGGGAGGTGTCAAAGGAATGCTATCTCTGGACACAAGGCTTCAGGGTCGAGCGGTGTGCATTCGAAAAGAGTCCATGGAGAAATTCCCCAGTAAGGATTGGGAGAATCTCGAAATTTGTGACGTGGCATCACGGCCTCTCAAATTGGTGCTGAATCGGCAATTGATTAAGATCATGGAAGACTTGGGTGTATCCAAGCAATGGTTTCTCCGACTGCAGAAGATGGAGCTTGATCGACTTCGGGCAGTAACAGCCGATGCGTACAACACGGCAACATTCTTGCATCTCCAGGCCATCGGCACAAGTTTCTTCTTGTCGACCTTTGTCAAGGGCCTTGACAAATACGGCATAGACTACCGTCAAGACAGGTTCTTGAGAGCAGTGGTCGAGTCGATTGTTCTACGGGAATTGCGATTGTTGAAGCACAAAGCCAGAATACCCGTTCCTAATGGCGCCACCCTTTTTGGAATCATGGATGAGACGAAGTTTCTCAAGGAGGGCCAGGTCTTTGTCTCTTTTGACACTTTCCGAAGACCTGGAAAGCCAGCCACTGTCGGATCTATCAAGGATGGTACCTTCATGCTCGTGACGCGCTCGCCAGCTCTTCACCCCGGCGATATTCAGCGAGTTATGGTTAGAGTACCACCGCCAGGTCACCCCTTACGGAACCTTCGCAACTGCATCGCGTTTAGTCAGTTTGGAGAGCGCGACTTGCCTAGCAAGCTCAGCGGTGGTGATCTTGATGGCGACTTGTATAACATCATCTGGGACCAAGATGCAATGCCCGCAATGGTATATGAAGCTGCCGACTACCCCAGAGTAACACCGGAGCCACTTGGTCGATCAGTGACGAGAGAAGATATGGCCAATTGGTTTGTTGACTTCATGAAGTCTGACGTACTCGGCATGATTGCCACTAGGCATCTAATTCTCGCCGATAAACATCATGAAGGAACTGTGAGCGGCGACTGCATCAAACTAGCCGGTCTACACTCGACTGCTGTGGACTTTTCGAAGACAGGCATCCCAGTCGCGCGGGAAGATATCCCAAAGGCGCCCATCTTTCGCCCGGACTTGTAAGTACATGTTGTCGCTCGGCGTAGCTTATCACTGCTGATATATCTCACAGCCTCGCGCCCGCACCCCCTGCTCAGCTATACGATCGAACGCAGATCGACTTCCTTGGCAAGGACGAGGCAGTCGACGACGATGACGACGATTTCGTACCATCTTACCGATACTACAAATCAGACAAAATCCTCGGCGAGCTTTATCGCAATGTCGACGAAAAGCAGATCTGGGATGATGAAATCAAGAGATCCATCCCCAAGACCGGACCCTCGGTTTGGGACCAGTTTGTAGGCTTAATAGAGCGAAAGATCAAAGACTATACTCATGGGCGAGTGAGCTGGGAAACGAAACTGAGGGAGGCGAAAAGCTTGCGCGACGTGTGAGTGGCTCTGGGACTTACGTTGTGGCGATTTAGTGTATCGTTTCCTGCTAATAGTCTTTCCAGATACGAAGACCATCTCTTCAGTGCCATGACAACGTACTCTGACAGTCACTTGAAGCAGCTGACAGAAGTCGAGGTGTTCTGCGGCTCAATCTTCAACAAGACTGGCGCGCAGACTCGTCGTCAAAAGGACAACTCAATGAAGCTCAAGCAAGAGTTCGATCGACTAGCCGACCTCATGGTGCAACAAATGCGGCGCAAGTTCCGCAATGTGGGAGACAAAGCTGCCCAACCTACCGATATCTACATTAATCCTGCACCGACTGGCACCCGCCAGATTGACGATGACATCGAACGGCTCTTGGCACCGAACAAGGATGCGTTGGAGATGTCATATGCGTGCTTCATGGTCGGTTTGCTGCCGAGTACCGACCTTGAGCGCGGACACCGAGCAACACAGCTGGAAAGCTTCAAGGTTATTTCGGCGGGTGTCTTGCTCAAAGAGCTCACCGAGCTTGCTAATCGCGTGAAGGGTGGCCGATTGGTCAACCCCAGCAACGGCGACGCTGCGGGCGGTGGGTTTGTAGGTGTCAGTGGTGGGCCAGCAATGTCCTATATGTACATCGGCTATGACGTGGATGTCGGGCAGTATCCCAATTATGGATACAGCCATTACATGTAGAGTACCTGTGTGAGGTAGATCATGATACGATCAAAAACTTTGTACGATATTGAGGCTGTATCTTTGGTGGGCCTCTTTGAACATTTGATTCAAAGCCTTGGAGGACGCTAGGAAAGACGATTTGCCGGGTTTAGCGTCGCTTCCAATCAGTGCGCGAAAAGTCTCACTAAAAGCCTCCGCTGCTGCTCACGTCGAAGGATTGTTCCCTTGACCAGTTACGAAGACGCCAGTGTAAGCCTCCGACTGACTTCCCTGCTACCTGGAAAGCCTCCTGCTGACGCGAGATGGAGATTCCCTATATATGACAGGACAGAGAGTAGGACTATGCTCTTCATGTTCATGGGCCATCTACATTCCCATTGCTCTCTTTACCCAATTCCCAAATCGCGATGATGCCCCCCGCAAAGCCGGCTTCCAGCAGCGAAATTTTGGAGAGCCTGAACTCTTCGCATATTCTCACTGAGCCCAGCAAGACACGTTCTCTTCAAGTTGAAGGCCAGAAAGAAGACAGCCAGACTGCGGTCGAGGCATCGACGGCGTACAGGAAGGACATACGCTTCTGGGTCATCGTGTTCGCGCTATGCATCACTTCTCTACTCGCTTCCCTAGAGACCACAGTGGTTGTGACCTCATTGCCGACTATTGTTGAGCGTTTGAAGTTTGGGAGCAGCTATGTCTGGGTTGGCAACATCTTCTTTCTCACCAGGTCAGTCTCGGAGCATCAGCCCAGCTACATGTGGCCGAAAATACTGATATGAAGTGCAATCAAGTGCGGCTGTCCAGCCTCTCTTTGGGCAGGTTTCCAATCTTTTCGGCCGCAGATATCTCACGCTATTCATCGTAGCAATCTACACTCTTGGCAGCGGAATCTGCGGTGGCGCTAGTAGCCCGACGATGCTCATCGCTGGGCGAGCTGTGCAAGGCATGGGAAGCGGTGGCATAAACATGATCATCGACATCATCATCTCCGACCTCGTCCCACTTAGGGATAGAGGTAATTATATCGCCATCATCCTGGCAATATACGGGGTCGGCATGGCAATCGGACCGTTCGTGGGAGGCATCATCGTGCAAACTACTTCATGGAGATGGGTGAGCACTCGCCTTCATGCCAGTATTTTCCAACCCAAACTGACAGAACAGGTGTTCTACATCAATCTCCCAGTTGGCGGCCTCTCACTCGTTCTCCTCTATCTTTTCCTTCACGTGAAATGGGATCGGACCGCCACTTTCAACGGCAAACTTCGCCGAATCGACTACATTGGCAACTCGATCCTCATCGCATCTACAGTCTCCGTTCTCATAGCCCTCACCTGGGGCGGCGAAATCTACTCTTGGTCCTCTTACCGCGTCATCATCCCCCTCGTTCTCGGCCTTGTAGGCCTCGTTGCCTTCTGCATCTTTGAGGGATCAGGCATCGTCCAGGAACCAGTGATGCCTCTACGCCTCCTCGCGAACCGGACCTCCGCCATTATCTACGCGACCACCTTCCTCAATTCCGCAATTCTGTACTGGGCATTCTTCTTCCTCCCGCTATACTTTCAGGCCGTCAAGCTTTCAACTCCAGCTCGTTCAGGTGTTCAACTACTCCCCGTGACCTTGATCTCCATTCCGGGCGCCGCCATCTCCGCCGTCGTCCTCGCACGATGGGGCCGCTACAAAGCTCTCCACATCGCAGGCTTTGCCCTCATGACACTCGGTCTCGGCATATGGGCCGTCTTGGACAGGTACAGCAGCACAGCAGCCTGGGTCCTCGTACAAGTCGTCCCCGCCGTTGGTTCAGGCATGCTTCTCAACACTCTGCTGCCAGCCTTCCAGGCAGGTCTTACAGAAGCAGATCAAGCTGCCGCGACGGCAAGCTGGTCATTCATCCGCAGTTTTGGGAGTATCTGGGGCGTCGCTATCCCCGCGGCCATCTTCAACACGTATACATCGTCATATGCCGCGCAGAAGATAGATGACCCTGCGGCTCGGGGTATTTTACAGCATGGCAATGCGTATGCCAGCGCCACTAAAGCCTTTGTCGAGTCCTTCGATGAGCCGACGAGAAGTCAGATCATTGATGTATTCACCGAGGCTATGAGAAAGGTCTTTCTCATCGCGATTGCGTTCGGTGGCCTGGCTTTCTTATTGAGCTTCTTGGAGAGGGAGGTTGAGCTGAGAAAAGAGCTGGAAACTGAGTTTGGTCTCGAGGAAAAGAAGAACGCGGACGGAAATAAGGATGCTGTCTAAGTGATGCCCATCAGGAACTCAGAGCCCCCTTGCCTTATTTGCTAGTCATATATTTCTCAAATTCACCGGAAGAAACACTCCATCTGGCTACTTAATACAATGTCAAGTCTCCCACCTACTACGTTTGGTAGGCACCTGGTCAGAGGCTCTTGAGCTTTCAGGTAGGCTAGGCTCGAGTTCGCTCGGCTTTAACATCTGTTTCGCAGGTCACAGCCGGCGGGATACTCTTCATTCCCAAGACCTAGCCCAATCGATATGTACTATGACGACACCGAAGATCGCTGCAATAGCCGGGGGCACGCGGAGACCGCAGCGCCTTGAAAGACTGTTTGAGCGACGCTGACGGACAGCGGAGTAGGTAGCGGGCCAGGACTTCCATGACTCGACTCCGTCTGACCATCACGGAGTCAAAACTAGCGTCCGTAGTTGGGTGTTTTAGCTTCACGACTTCAGATTATTGCCCACTTCCCGCTCTAAGCATACCTGTCGGTAAAAATGCGGACAGAACGAATAGTGTGCTACTCGTGCGAGGTCGGAAGCCCCCGACTGTGAATGAGAGTAGTTCTTCACTTCATCTTCAACTTGAGCATGCAGGCAAGCAAGCAAACGGATTGTATAAACAGGCCGAAACCAAGGCCCCAGCATCGCACGGTCAGGTACCCCGTACCATGCAGGGGACCTGGGGTTTTCTCCCTTCTTTCCCCTCCATTCGTTTCGTCGCGTTGGCCCTTGCGGCAGAACAGTCGGCCCAAAGTCTAAGTTCATCCGCCGTGCTTCATCCCCCTCCACACTATTCTGCCATGGAATAAAAGTAGGAGGAGCTATCCGTGGGGTCAGGTTCCTCGGTTCATGGAACATGGCAACCCTGCCCATGTTTGGTCGCCAAAGGAGCTACACAGCTCACTTCAACTTCCTATGGAAACTTTCAAGGTCAGAAGAGATTCATGCACACGTGGTGAAGAAAGCCTTCAATTGTCGGGCGAACCCGCCCCCATGGCAGAGAAGCTGCTCGCTGGCCAAAGCTTCAGGATCGCCGACCGGCACCCTATACTTTTTTTTCTTTTTTCCCTCCCACTCTTTTCCCTCCACTGACTTTCGGCACTTGGGCTGGGTTAAGTTCGGCTCCTTTGTCTCCGTCACACCATTCAAATGGTACCTGGCGCGTTGGTTGTCGTTGTATTTGGACCATCTCATATTACCTTGCCCTAATGCCGTTTGGCAGCCAAACTCGAGCTGAACACATACGGTGGGGTCATGCGTGACCATGAATCGATACAGAGTCAACAAGTCAAGCAGGCCCCATAGCAAGGCATCACCTGGGCGACGACGATGTCTGTCGTGTCACAGGTTGCCGGCTGCGGTGAGTGGACTGAGACGTGACATGAGATACTATTTATGAAAACGTCTGTTGACGATGATCACAGTGTGATTGCCGGCAATCTCGGCATGCGAGGGAAAGGTCGCAGTCAAGTTCCGGAATCTCCTCCATGAGCGAAAGCTCACCGACCACCAATGCGACCATTGAATCAAAGATCACCACACCAGGATGTCTAAGCTCAACGCCGGGGCGTTTGGAGCCCTTGCCGGCTGACATAACAATGGCTTTCTTCGCGTTCGTGGGCGATTCACCTTCACCCATGACCGATGTCTTTTCGCTGTCATTCATGCGGACATATCTCGACACGTCAATACCAATTCGTGCCGTTGTAACAACAATTGGCAAAATATGCCTAGAGTACTCAAAGACGACCGCTTTAGAAAAAAAGCAAAAAGCTGCAGCCACTATCATGGCCCAAGACCGATATAAGTTGAAAGAATTCCTTGACGTCCTCACGTCTCCCGAAAGTAGTGACCAGCACTTGATGTTGCTGTATGGGATTCTGATGGCTTATGCCGAGGTGAGTTGAGACTTGAACACTGAGAACACGCAGCATCTTACCCTCATTTTCTATCATACTCAGAGCTGACTGTAATGACTTTGAACAGACAATGACTGGCCAGTCATGGCTCTTCTTTCAGGCCACAATGAGAAAGTTGACGGAAAAGGTTCAACAGCAGGTCCAGGAGAGAAAAGGAGCACCTTTTTTGTACTTTGACAAAGGATTGCTGATGAACTACTCGCTCATGGCAACTTACCACTGTCTAGTATCGTTCGAGGACACCTTTCTTGTCGATGTCGAACTCTACGATCCAAAGCTCTTTGACAATATTGATGCGATTACTAGCCAAGTTCGCATTAACTCCGCCATATTACACCACTACACAAAATACGTGGCCAATTTTGCGCGACTGCACCACAAGTAAGAAAAGCCAACTCTCGGGGAAAGAGTCAGTCCAGTGTGGTACAAGTCAGCTCATGATTTATGTAGGGCAACGAAATGGGTGCGACAAGCGCGCCACGTTTTGAATGACCGCCATCTAGCTGCTGAACCACCACCTGACGAAGAGCTCAGGAAGATACTATCAGAAGCTGGGCTTTTGCAGCAGGGAATGGAGATTATCGAAAGTTCGGCAGCGGTCATTGATGTGATGGAGAACCTTCGAGGAGATAGCTACGACGATGACGACGAGGCGGACAAAAGCGACTTCGGCATTCTGCGCGAGGCCTTTTACCATTTCTCGCTAATGGGAATAACGCGAACATTTTGGGATCCGGCGTGGAAGCTTATTGACGAGGACCTGCCACACATGTCAGACATGCCGGATCTCGAAGGACATGGATTATTCGTCCTAGAGAGGCTAGAACAACGGACTCCCGTTGTCGGGCTAGAGTCATGGAGCTATCTTGTTGTGCTCATGGGCGTTGCCTTGGAGGCTAAGAGAGATGATATCCGGCAACGAGTGGCTGTCCTGCTCAAGGACATATTGGGCAAAGGCTTTGCCATCGCCGGGGCTTTATTAGCTGACGTAAAGATGATTTGGGGCATGGATTATGCATCTGGACACGAATGCATTGGACCTAGCGCGTGAGGGAGAACGAGGGAGGCGTATATAGCATACCTATGCAACTTACATCAGGTCAAGATACCTGAGAGACACCGCGAGTACCTGGATTTGCATTGCAAAGCGACTAGTATTCATGTAAATCGTGCGCTCACATTTTAATGAAACATGAATTCTAGCCGGTCATTCGGTTCTGCGTTCAATATTCGCACTAAAACGCGTGTTATTTTTTCCCCCAGTTACCGCACGAATTTACTGCCGTCTTTCCACGTTACCTAGGTACTTATACACCGTATGCATTGCCGAGGGGATACAATTCTGGCCGCGATGCGATGCTTTTTTTATCGTTACGGATAAATCTTTATACTGGCGAAACGAGTGGCTTCGACTTCATATGTAATTCAATTGGTTGACATGACGTAATTTTGTTCAGAGCTTCCCCCGCACAAAAGTCCCGCAACCGGCGGTCGAGAACCGAATATCGCAACGGGCAGATAATCAGATCAAGAGCCTCGATATTGATTCGTACATCTTGCCCTTATCTCTAGAAACATTAGCTACGGCACTATTTACAATGTCACCTCCTATCTGCACAAAGACGTTCAAGCTGAACAACGGTACGATACTCATCGCCATGAAAAATGACACGCATCTCATGAGTTCCCATGGGCTGACCGACTCTCTGCAGGCCTCGAACTCCCCGCCGTGGGTCTGGGAACATGGCAAGGTAGGGAGAGCTCTCATACCGAACGCGTCCCACTGAGTCTGACAGCCTGAAGGCACTCCAGGTTCAGATGACTCCAAGGCTATGGAGGATTCTGTCATACACGCCCTCAACTCCGGATACCGTCTCATCGACACCGCTCAGCTCTATGGCGTCGAAGACGTTGTGGGCAGGGCCATTCGCAACAGCGGCGTCCCCCGTGAGGAGATCACCGTTGTGACCAAGTTCTGGGGAGAGTGGCATCACGATCCCGCGACGGCCCTGCAGATCTCACTGGACACCATGGGCCTTGACTACATCGACGTGTTCCTCATGCACTGGCCCTGGGCCACAACTCCGGCACCGGAGAAGAAGGTCTTGAAGAAGTGGGAGAGCCCAACGTTCATCGAGACCTGGAAGTCGATGGAGAAGCTGGTCGGCCCCAAGTGCAGGTCAATTGGCGTCAGCAACTTCATGCCTAAGGTCATGGATGAGCTGCTCAAGGAGGCCACTATCGTGCCTGCCGTTAACCAGGTTGAGTTGCATGCTTTCAACCCAAACCTGAACCTCGTACCTTACTGCAAGGAGAAGGGCATTGTGGTCACGAGTTGGAGGTGAGCTTTTTAATACCTTTAAGCGAGGATCGAAGTCATGTTGGACAAATGGACGGGGCGCTAATTGAGACAGCACAATGGGTGGATCGCGTCCTTCCCAGAATGAAATTCTCAACCACGAGCTCTTCACCAGCATCGCAAAGGCACATGGTATCTCGGCAGGCGTCGTGTCCCTCTCCTGGTGCGTCCAGCGCGGCATCGCCGTCATCCCAAAGAGCGCCAAGAAGGAGCGGATTGAGGAGAACATCCGCCTTGTCACCCTTACCGAGGAGGAGATGAACAAGATCAATGAGGCACATAAGACGATCAAGAAGGAGAGATTCTCCAACGGAATTGCGGTGCAGCACATGGAGATCGATGGAGTGATGACCCAGCAGGGCTGGACCTACGTCGATATGGGCTACGAGGACGAGAATGGCAATTGGCTGGCTTAAGATAGAAGACCGTCAGTCGCTTTTGTTGTGTAGCATCGAGAATTCAGTATAAACCCACCTAAAGGATAATACATTGCCGCTGCTTCAACAACATCCATTATTCGTCCGTAATCATATTATCGTATCAGTACGCTTACAAATGTATGGGTCGTTTGCTCCCGTTGTACGCAGAGCCAAGCCTCTGCATTCGTCACCGAAAGCGCCTATAACTCTACATGTCAGCGGAGTTAGAGTAAAACCGGGGAGGCAGCCAACTTATAGGTGCTGGTGCACTAACGTACCTACGCAGAATGTCTAGCTCTGTCCCTACCCAATGAGACACCTTTCCGAGGATCTTTACCTTCTTTACAGATGAAAAGCCAATTATCACTACTAACTATTAATGAACACTCGAGTAGCTAGGTTGGAATAAAGCAAACTGCACAATGACGGGCCGACTCACTCGTAGTGCCTCGCATTCAAGATAAAAAGCAGCTGTGTGAGCTAAGCCAAGCCATGCCTGGCCATAGCACCGCCTGAATCGGGGAGTGGACCACTAGCGTCGCAGCGAAAAGCATAAAGTCAACCACAGCCTCCTCCCCGTCTTTCTACGAAAAATTTCCCCTCCATATCGAGAAGATTAAACAGCCAGAAATCAGTAGAAGCCGCCGTGATGGACTTGTCACCTCAGGAAGAGGAGCTATCATTGACGAGGACAGGATCTTCGTCGACGTCAGAAATCGTCCCTGTATCTTTAGGACAATTGCCAGCGCAAAGTGAGGCCCTAGAGTCGTCAGAAGATTGGACTGGCTTGACGTCAAGCAAAGAGCGGAGAAAACTTCAAAATCGACTTAACCAAAGAGCACGTCGTTAGTCCGCCCCGAGTTCCCTGGCTTTCCACAAGTCATTATACGCCATCTAACTGGATGGATTGCATCTAGGTAGAAGAATGAAGCAGGAAGTCTTTCGTCAGATGAGTCAACTAGAGGGAGTGATCAACGAGACCATAGCAGAAGCAGAATCAGCTGGCCGTTTGCAAAACGGTACCACCGGAGATGAAGGCTACTCGCTTCTGCCATGCCCCAAAAGGAGGAGCGAGTTGATGATCCTCGCACAGGAGGCACGAAGAAATTATGCCCTGGGAACCCCGGCTCCTCGACAGCTAAGCGCCCTCGTTAAGCTCAACCTGCTCACTGCGCTCTGGCGGAATACGCAGATATTGGGCTTCAACGTACACTCCATCTGTGAGGATGAGTTCATTTCTCCATATAATCTCCAAGGCCCAGACCTTCCCTGCTATTCTCGACAAGAGCTCTCGTGGCCTCCATATTTACGTCCAACGGAAGCGCAGAAAAAGATTACACATCACCCTTTTCTTGACGTCTTCCCGTTTCCGTCACTAAGAGAAGCCGGAATTCGGGCCGAAGAGCTCGGGTTCTTTGACGAAGACGACTTTTGCCTCGACATTTTCCATCTCGATGACAAAAAAGACGGCGTCGAGCGCCCGCGTATGATAGTCTGGGGCGAGTCTTGGGATCCCCGCGGTTGGGAAGTCAACGTCGCGTTTCTGCGAAAATGGGGCTGGATGGTTCGAGGTTGCCCGGAGTTGCTAGAAGGCACGAATTACTGGCGTGAGAAAAGAGGCGAGAAGAAGTTGAACTTCAATCTCAACCCGTGATGGCGATGTGGCATCGGAGTAGGATACGTCATTTCACCAAGTGGGCTTGTTTGGGTACATGTAGAGGTAGAATACATGAAGTTGCAAGTTCAAGAGGCGCGGACAAGAAATTTGTACTGCTTCAATGATTTTGAGCAAGGTTTCAGTCTGGAACAAGTATAATTCTCCCATAATTCAATGGCAAGTGATTGACACGCATGACTTCCAAGAAAGCTCCACAAATATGAGAATAATAAGGCGGTTGAATGATTTCCCGTAAAGGAGTCTACACTCATTGATTGGACCTCCTTGAATACCCCCTTAGAAGGGCTGGAGAGTCGCATGCCAGAAAAGTTCGCCAATAGCATATCTGTCCGTCAGAGGCTTAACCTCCTCCTTCACACACGTCTTTTCGACCGGGACTCCCTCAAATCTCGCCCCAATCCATGCAGCAATGTCAGCTCTCGCCGCCTCCAGAACCTGGCCGTGACCCATGCTCGGGTAAACTCTTGCATGAACAGGGCTCTCAGGGAATGAGGTGCAAGTCTGGTTGAAGTCATCGAGTGTAAGGTTGTTAGGCGTGATCGTGTCGGTCTCGCCCGAAATGACCAACATTGGCGCCGCGATAGAGTGCGGGCCTTGGCCGTTGTATCGAACTGCCCATTCGTCGACGATAGGAAGCGTCAACCAGCTTGTGTTCTTGTAGAGTTGCTCCGGGGTGAAATCACCGACGATAGCGAAGCCAGACGTGAAACATGACTTGTCGAGGGCACCCAGACGCTGCAGAGGAATCTCTCCAAGGTAGTCCGCAACCTTGATCTGGTCGGGGAAGAGCAGAGACAGAGACTGGAGGAAGTAAACCGAGAAGGGGTCGTGGGCAGCCTTTCCTTGAGCAAGCGCGAGAGAGGCGGGGATCAACTTCTGCGGCCGCAAAGCAGGGGCGGCAGCCACGGAGCCGATAAACTCGCCGGCCTCCAAAAGAGCTTCTTGGTCAGGCTGAGCCAGACGCTCGTTGGTTCTCCATGCCGTCATACCACCTTCGCTGTGACCATAGACCACCCACTTCTGTCCCAAAAGGTCGCCGATTGCCTTTCTCGCGGCAACGAGAGAGTATGCGACATCAGCAACGTGGAGCCAGCCAGACTCGTACATGAAGCCCTGGGGAATGTCGGAACCCTGACCAGCATAGTCGGGAGCGATGACAGCATAGCCAGATTCGGCGAGGATGAAAGGGGCTTTCCAGTCGTAGTACAGACCCTTGTTGTTGGTGGGGGCACACAAGCGGCTACGACCGGCAGTTCCGTGGGTCCAGACAACGGTGCGCAGCTTGTTCTCTTCGGCCGTAGCACCGGGCTTGGCGAATGGATTGGAGAAAGGCAGGAGAACCCAAGCGGATGCGGGAATCGGCTTGCGGTCAATGTCTTCGGTTACATAGAGGACCCTTGACAATGACAGACTCGCGGGGATAGTCCAGTTGGAAGAGAGCTGCGCAGCGGGCACGTTCTCCCACCGCAGGATGTCACCAGGCTTGGCACCGGTGAAGTTGGAAGGCGTAGAGTAGAACGGGTCGGACACGATGTCGCTTACCCACAGGGAAGCTTCAGCTTCGTAGGTGGTTTGGATGGCGGTTTGGCAGGCTGCGTCGCAGCCCTTCTGGCATTCGGCATCGCAGATGGGGTCGAGTGCAGAGACAATGCCAACAAAGGCAGCAGCAACAGCTACGAATGACTTCATTTCGCCGGGATGATCTTGAGTTGGAAAGAAACGCAACCCTGCTGGATGAGGAACGGAAGGCAGTTATGATCGCTACCAGCACCGGGTCTTTATACAAGATCGAGGACGGAAAGGGGGTTCATCTCATTATCTGATTATCGACCATAGATATGATTACAGGAGTTGGACTCATTGATCTTGAACCTTAATTCCACGCTTTACCTACACAATACTACGAGCCCAGGTTGTTGAGCAGTCATATTAAGCATACGTGCGAGGCAAGCTTGGTAGTCGACCCAGTGTCGCATACAACTTCCCCTTTTGGGATGGATCACCCGCCCCCCGTTGCAGCGCATCCATCCCGAATTGTGATCGGGGTCCAGTCCAAGCCCGGAACCATGGTAATCGCCTCAGCTAAACGTTTGTCGATAAACACTCTTGAGTTGCTTTCAGCTTGGAAATCGGATGTTCCCAGTCGCATTCATTCTCGGAACGTTTCCGACCCATTCCGTCTGATCTTCTGTATGCCTCCAAACGTGAGAGGCGGACTTCGGAGACTTCTGTCAAGCTGGCATGCATTTCACCCCGCCAAGCTATGATTATATCGGCCTCCCACCGGCAACTGTTCCCAGTGATGCGGTGCTACTCCACCCTCAAAGATATCAGCTTCTGATCGGCCGGCCCTGGCAAACAAGGTCATGCACATTATGTTGTATGGCATTGCATCCTTAGGTTCTTTGCGTACCTTAGATAGAATGAACCGATGATCCTTTGGAAGTATCTCGAGCCGGAAGCATGGTATTTGCCACAACCAATGCGTCTGGTATCCTGAACTTATATTTCCCAAACTTGTGTATTCCCTCGATCTTACGATGCAGTAGGTAGCCCTGTCAATCAGAAATCGCTTTGTATGGCGTACCTCTCCTGTGTTTTCTTCGCTGGACTGCTACATCATCTTCCCGAACCTATTAGCCCTTAATGTATCAAATGGCCAAAACGGCGCCTAAGTCACGCAATGAAAGGCGCTCATCAAATCGTTTGATACAAATGAGTTAAGCAGCGGAAAAAAACTCCAATTCTGTTCTTGTACGTGCCTTAGTAGACATATAGGTTATGAAGGATGACTTTTGTATGTTCTTATTACCAGCGAGTCATATTTTGAGTAGGCAACCTGATAAGAATGGAGGTATTGCAGTATCAAAATTGACATCTACGGCGTTTCATAACGTACTTTGCCCAAGTCTCACCTGCTATTTATTACTTAACCCTTTCCCTGATCACAAGAAATTATACTGCACAATTCAAATCTCATTCACTATTTAGGGGTTGTTGGAAATGCTTCAGCGGAGACGCCAGGCGAGCAACAGCAGCATGGGGTTTACTACGGCTGCTTTCAGTTGAATGGAGATGGCAATCTCATCGCTGTCGGAAATGCTTGCGGAGATGCAACGGTACGCGGTTCTATGATTATACGCGACTCTTCGATTGTTGTTCGAATTTCCAGGGACAATTATCTTTCTTTGGCTTGGATGTCGGGTCCAAACATTCAACTACAAGAGCGCCACGTGAACGCTTACTTTGAACGATCGCTTCCGTCATCAACACGCTAGGAAGCCGTGTAGGCGTGACCGACGAGATCTAAGCGACTCCTCTTCCCCGCACCATGTGGCATTCCGGCTTCAACTACCGACAAAACTATCTTGGCTTAGCCATTTTCCCCCCAAAATACACCTGTTCACCATCAACTCCACCTCCCTATCTGCGTTCTTCAAAATGGAGAAGACAGATACAGCTGAGGTGCTGGATGTGTCGCAATGGCCGACGGCGGCGAAGTTTGTCTCTCGGTGTTGCGAGTTTTTGAATGAGGTGCAAGATTTGTAAGTTGTTTCACCTAAGACATGATTTATGTGAAATCAATCCATCCAACTCACATCGACTACACAAGAACACCCGGTAAAGACTTGGAGACGCGACTCAATCAGCAGTTCGGACCTGGCAATCAGTACTACGAGGACTTCTGTTCCCATATCAAACAGGGTCTCGAAGAAGGATGGGTAGCGCAGACCGAGATTGACGGACGCAAATACCGGCGGGGCAAGATCGCACTTCCTTCGGCGGCGACAAGATACTTCAGCATCACGACTGTATTCATGGATAGCGATACTGAGTTTAGAGGACAATATCACGCTCATCCTTACGGCGAGATAAACTGCGTCATCCAGCTGGATTCTACGGCAGAACTCAAAGGAATGCAAGGCTGGCAGGGTGCTGGCTGGACATCCCCCGGACCTGGAACACATCACTTCCCTGAGGTCCGAAAAGGAGCTTTGGTAGCACTTTTTTTTCTGCCTGCCGGTCGAATCTCTTATAATGCTGAGCCGGGCGCCCCACAGCCTCTATCGGTGTAGATATGAGTACATTAGCAGAGCATGATTAAGTCGACGGTTCAAGGCTAGAATGTGATCATGAAAGAATGACTTGAGGTTTCTACGTAATTCTAAGGAGTGGCACAGCTCTAGTCCAGTATTTAGATTGTGGAAACTTTGCGGATAACAGGATTAGAAAGAGGCATGTTAAAGAAAGTGAGCTTTGCACGGAAAAGACCACGAGAAAGCAAAAAAAAGTAACACGCTAAGGAAAGTTACAAATCTCAACATAATCCATCAAACAAAGCCCAGTCGAACCACAGGATCTCTGAATCTCTCACAATTAGTCAAGAGTTCTCAATCCTCGGTATTAGCTTTTTTCAGTCTCCTCAGGCTGGGGCCGTTGATCTGCCTTTGCACAGTTCCATTCTGAACAGGACCTTGGCTCGACAGCATGTTGCAACCGGAATAGTAGGCATGCAAGACCGGAAGCCCACATAAATCGCGGTCGTAAGTGGCGTGGATATTGTTGATTTGTTCGCCAGGCCCAGACTTTGTACAATTGATGAACAGGAGTGCATTGTCGGCAGAGTTCGAGGGCTGAGTCATGTAAGACGAAGCTGTGGGATTTGCGTTACCAAAGTGGGTGTAATTGAAGTGAGGTCCAGGTCGCTGCATAGCCATCTGGTCAAGCAGATTTGAGTCGTTCTCGACGTACGCGCCGTTTATTTGGTTGACGCCTTCACCAGCCGTGCAGTTGTAGTACATGGAACGACCTCGGACTTCACTTCCGAAGGGAAATTCCTGTTGGGGCCAATCTTGAGAAGAAGGGCGGTCGCCGGTAGGAAGGGGATGGCCCTGATGTTGCTCAGAGATGTGGCTTTGTTCGGCTTCGCTGGTCATTCTTTGAGGGTGCATGTAGGTATGAAGAGCAGAAGCAGGCTTCCAGTCTTGAGGCCCATGCGAACTCTTCACAAGCGCGACTGAATCACCACTCGTTGTGGATGATGAACCACCGGCTTGTTTTTCGAATTCGGCAGCATCGTGCTTAGGACCAAGCAAAAGGCTCTCCTGCCTGTTGCGTAAGGGACGGTTTGCCATAACACGTATGTCTGACTGTATTTGGTGAAGTGTGCTGGCCTCGATGTTGTGGATAATGAGAGAAAGGTGGGACTTGCGCCTTTCAAGAATATTCAAGGTATTCTTCAGATCTCTCTCTTTGCGAAGAAATCCCAAGGATTGTAACAAACGGCTTCTGCTTAAAATTGACTCGATGTCGTATTGGTTGACAATCGCCTGTAGCGAAAGAGTCTGTGAACCAATCTCTTTGGTCTGGAGAAGGTGATTGAGAGATATAGAGGTGGAAAGATCATAGAGTTCTTGGAGATGTGTTTGATAATCTTTCAAGGCTGATGGCGCCTCTTTTATCTTTTTCATGAGCTCGAGAATCGCAAAGCAAGATACCGCAAGCTGGCTAGCAGCAGCCGCAACTCCGACGATTTCGGCCATGGTTGAGAGACCGTGGAAGTGAGTCAAGGCCTGACAACTCCAAGGCTTTGTGGTAAGGCTACTGATCACCACCAGGCGGTGAGAAGGGCAGGCCAATAGATATGTCCGCACAAGAGATTCTTGCACTTTGAATCTTAAGATAGCATAGTGGTGTGGCCGGAAGACATGCGGGCAGACATATGCGCCGAATGAAGGTTGCGATAACGTGGCAGGAGATGATCAAGTCGGTCTCTGTCTTGGGGGCCGCGTAGTGAAGAAGTCATGACATGTCTATGGGTGAACTCTGTACATGTTGAAGATGAACAGAGATACATTCCACGTTGTGATGTAGGAAGAAATAAGGCTGATATGCAAGACCGGGCAGGGTTTATCCGGAAAAGGGGGCTGAGTCTATAGAACGGCTTCGTTCGATTGGTTTTGGAAGAGCCTCACCAAGAAGATGAATTCCATGTCATTGGTTTCAAAGCAGCCTCTAGAGGCAATGTCGCCATGCTGCTGCTTTTTTGCGGTGTGGAAATTCAAATCTTTCCTCTCACCGCCATTAGAACATAGATCTTGGAGATGGAATGGGTGTACTCACTGCTTTAGCTCAGCTGTGGACTTGTACTGTCATGAATTGCAAGTACTTGAATACTAGTGGACAGTTTTTGGTCATCTGGAGACTGGAACTTTTCTATCTCGTCAGAGTCAAGATGCCACCACAGTTAACGGAGACTAACATCCATGATGTTTGACTATTCTCTTGAGACCTAAGGTAAGGTACTTGAATATGTGATGTTTTGATACCGAAAAGCACTCGGCTTAGTATAGAGATCCACTCGCGTTGCTTCCGGATAACGAGAAGTTGAGAACCTCCCCAATTTACATAGAAACTCACACTCTTCGAGGCTCCGAATGAATGTCCCTATGCAAAAATCTTGAAAGGATCGACCAAGCTTGGGTTTGGTGTGCTGTACATTGGGGGCGAGACTTGGGCTTGCTCTTATACAGAAGATGGTGGGCATGGTGCCCGATGCGTGTATGCTGGCAGCCCTGTTTGCGAGGCGCTGCGATCAAGCTGATCTCGGGCATCAGACGTGAGATCGTCTTGGGACTCACATACTCATCAATTCTTTCCATACAAGATACTTGAGAAACAACAAGCGGGTTGGAGTTCATTGTGCTAAGTACTATGTCTTGCAATGTTATCGATAACACGCTGGGAGAAGTGATACCTGCACCAACGCGAGATTATAAGTCTGTAACGATGTTTCGCGTCTCGCTTCCGCTCGATATCTTCTTACCGCGGTCAAAATGCAGGGTACCTTGTGCCCGATACAGAAGCGTTTGCTCCTCCCTCTTTCTCCATGGTACCAGACGCGTCGAGATTGCTTTGCCTATTTGCTGCATGCAAGACTCTTTGTCATTGGGCAGACCCCTGGACACTCACCACTTGGCGCTTCGCACCAGACGGCCCTTGCTTCGACTTTGCCGCAGCGATGGCCACACAGGCATGGTCCCAGCCCTCCCACAACAGAAAGATTGCCTAGTCTCCCGTGAATTCTCCCAACTTGGGGTGTCTTGAGCTAGGCTAACCACACCACCTCCGAGTCATTACGACGACTGACTGGTCAAGCGAACAACTGGGTGGTTCGATTCGCCGACAATGCCACCGAAAACTACGATGGACTACGACGCTGCAGGAAGACAAACTGAGTCTACATATCCGTACACCGCATCGAACAATGTTTGCTCCGCAGCCAAGAATCAGTACAACGGGCCTGTCAAGATCAAAATAAACGAGGGAACGATCATCAACAACATCCGACCGGTGACAAACAAGACTTCGTACTACATCACAGTTGTTCCCGATGGACGATTTCCCACTGGCACATCAAGCCCTTCCGGCAAGCGCGATACGGAAAATCCGGTTGAGGAGGATATTTCCCATGGTTCATCCAAGACAACACCCACTTCCGACGGTCGGCAGATCTCGCTACCCAGCAGCGTTGACCAAGCCAAACATGCACGTCTCCCGTATTGGGTTGCTTGTTCTCCTCGCATTAGCTGGTTAAGGACGATCATTCGCCATTCAAGCCTGCGGGCTTACGGCCTTATCTGCGGGTTTCTGATGTGGTGAGCTGCACGACGAAACTCCAACCAAAACGCGAATTCCGCTAACACAAGTCATTCGACAGCTTGATTTCCTACTATATCGGCACTCTACGTCACTCCGAAAGCATTCGCTAAAAGTGCCTGAGCACTCCGATCCTCTAGTAAGCCTGATGCTTCGGCGCTGTTGAGCAGCATACACACCTCCTCATACAGTCTGGTCGACTGGCTGAAGGCCTATAATTACTGCAGGTCTTCACCGGAACCACAGAATTTTGTATTGCGGAAAACAACACTATGTGGATAGGGCGTGATCGGCACTGGTCGAAGTCTCGAAAGCAACATTTAGAGAGCAAGTCTACACATGTTCTTGGTAATATCTTCGTCTAATACCTCAAGAATTTGTCATATCCAGAATAGAGAGCTTCTTCATCATGTACTCGTTCGGGATCTGAGTTACTCCGTCTCTAGCGGTGCTCAACGCAGCTTTCTCCCATTCGTCGCAAAGACGGAGCTGCTCTTGACATTTTTGCCTGATGACCTCAACGGAGTCAACTCCAATCGGCACCCTGATTGGGAACGCCTTGTTGGCTGCTAAGCCCTGCCCTTTGATCACGTCCCAAATGACTGGCGGTAGCTTGTCCACGGATGATGGGAGGTTTGGGAAGACTTCTGTCGCGATTTTTCCCATAGCTTCACCATACAGGCCTTGGTAGTCTGCAATAGTGGGGAAACTAGGAGGAGGTCCCTCAGACTGAGGCTTGTCTTCATTCTTGTCGTTTATGGCAGTATTGACACCACCGGGCTCGAAGATAACGGCTTTGATACCGAGATGAGCAGTCTCCCTCTGGAGACTCTCCACAAACACTGCTCAATGATTAGACTCTTCGTCTTGTTTCATTCGATCCCCCTCATCTAGTTTGGGCCACTTACTTGTGAGTGCACCTTTGGCCATGCCATAATGAGCCATAAATGGAAAAGATGCCCAGCCGAATCCAGCACCAATAAACCCAAAGGTACCTGATTTTCTTTCACGAAAATGCGGAAGAGCTGCCTGAACCACCTTCACTGCTCCAAAGAGGTTGGTGTCGAACATTTTCTGAACAAATTCTTCGCTACAAGCTGTTCGTTAGTAGGGCCCCTTCGTTTCCTACATGACATGAGGTTTTGGAGGTACTTACTCCGCTTCTTCGATTGAAGACAGGAGAGAGTAACCGGCATTGCTAATAACGAAGTCGATGTGCCCAAAAACCTCGATAGCTTGTTGCACCTGGGCTTTGATATCTGCGAGCGGGGAGGTTACATCGAGGTCGAAAGGTACGACGTTGTCCGACTTCTTGTCTGCGAGCCTCGCCGTCGCATTCCGGCCTGTTGCAATGACCTTGTCGCCCCTTGCGGCGAACTGTTCCACGAGGGCAGCCCCTATGCCCGAGGTGGTGCCCGTGATAAGCCAAACGTTTGGTTCCTGCATTTCGTCGATTGATATGTTCCGGGTCGATTAGTTTTCAGTGTAGCTACAAGTTAGGATAAGTTGTCTGTGCGAGTTTGACGGAATTGAAAAGGTATAAATGAACAACATAATGAAGCGCAGGGGACGTGGTGATAAGCATCATAAGCTTACGACAATTGCGGAGATTTCAGTCTAACGATAATCCTCAAGGAGCAAAGTGCATCAGATTACGTCATTCGTCTTACCCTACGGTGTCAGCAGAAGGGGCCTTCGGACACGGGTTGAAGCCTGAAGTACCCTCGAGTCCGGCCTGAAAAGTGGGCTGCGGCCTTCGGGCTTTGGAGCCAAGACGGTCCTTTCTGAGCCGCTGAGCAGAGATGCCGGTGCTCCATCGGAGCTATCTGATTCGGCGCCGTTTCTACCAACCGTCAGCAGTAGGACAGGAGTGTGCAAGTTATGCTTACGACACAAAGGCTAGTCAGCCCAAGCTAGTGAATTTTCGGGACTCTGCTGATGATCTACCTTACCTGATGTGACTAATACCTTATCGAACTCTACTCCACATACGAATGTCGTTGTTCATCCCCGTCCGTAGGTATCTGTTAGGATTATGGAACTTCAATATGCGGCTCCAATAAGAAAGTCATTCATTACTAGTCTCTGTCCAGTAACTTGTTGGAACTCAATCCGGCTCCTCTATTCGCGTCAAGCCCGTTATATTCAGTGTCCACTTTCTTCTTCCACTGAGCGTAGGTAAATGGAAGCGTTGGTGTTCCCCATTGCCTTTCCTCCAACGTCTTTACTATTACTCACAGAAAGCGAAGTAGCTCGGTCGAAAACCTTTCGGACTGACAACAGCAATTAACGCAGGTACGTGGACTCGGGATGGCATGGAAGCATCGCGTATCAACCCAATTTCCATTCCTTTCCAAAATCGCTTGCCCGGCACCTCATGATTGGGCGGCTTCGAACTCGGCTCGCAACTGTCCCTACCAGGGGTGTGTGGATTCCAAGCAACCAAGCAACGGTTAAACACGCTATTGGGACTGTGAGTTTGACTGGTTTCTTGGAAGTCTATTGGCGCTTAAATCAAGAATGCGCCCTTGCGCCATGTGATCATCCCAGCATTGCGGGTGCTTCCGGACACCCACGCGATGGCATCATGAACAAGGGGCAATAACAGGTTCGCGACCGACTTGTGGATTTCTCCAGATGGTTCTCCCCGCAGAGCAATGTGGCCCTCCATGGGCTACCTGACCGTATCTACCGAAAGAGGCCTGTCTTCCCCAGGCGCTAACCCCGTGAACGGACGTGATTGCACCGTCTGTGGGGTTTTGTGTCCCCGCATCGTGAGAGAGCTCGGTAAGACGCTACCCCGACTCGGAGCTAGACAACTAGCCGCGCCATAGAAGAGCAACGTCGATATGAAGCTTTGTTGTTGATTCTGAAGAGCTCGTTTGCGACGGAACTCGAAAACTCGATGCCAAGGCCCTGGCGCCAATTTCGATCACCTCATCGCCACTGACATGAGTATATATACGATGGCAGTTTCTGAGATGCCTGTGATGCCGCGTGGGATGAACGACGACATTGTTTCTGTGGACCCACTCAACTGAATCCGAGAATAACTTCAAGATGCGCGTCTTTTCCATTCTCGCCGCCGTCGCGTCAGCTGCTGTCGTAGCTGGCAACCCTGTAGCCCGCCAAACGTCCAATTTCGCCGGCTACCTGATCTCGACCTTCAGCGACGCCAACCCGAAAGTCCAATTTCACTTGTCGAATGGCAACAGCGCGTCTAGCTTCAAGTTCCTCAACAAGGGTCAGGCAGTCCTCACGTCGACCGTGGGTACCAAGGCTGTCCGTGATGTCTACCTCACAACAAACCCCTCGCGATCAGAATGGTACATAATTGCCACTGGTGAGTTGACTTCAACCGAGATGCTAGAGTAGTTGAGCTAAGTCTTATAAGATCTTGATATCAATGCTTCTGGCTTCAACTGGGACAAAGCCACGAGAACTGGTAGCAGGGGCATCGTTGTCTGGAAGTCCGCCAACCTCGTTGACTGGTCTGCTCCCACGCTAAGAATCGTGGAAGCCGACACCGCCGGCATGGTCTGGGCCCCGTCAGCCGTTTGGGACGATGCAAAGGCTCATTGGTACGTCTTCTGGTCCGCCCGACACTACCGGTCCACCGACACGGCCCACACCGGCACGGCAACGCTCGACCGAATCCGATACACCACGACAAAGGACTTTGTCACCTTCAGCCCGGCCCGAGACTATCTTGCCTTAGCGGACACTCCCCTCATCGACCAGGAGTTCCAGTACTTGGGCACATCTGGCGCCTATGCCCGCTTCCTGAAGAACGAGACTACCAACCAAGTCTACCAAGAGGTCACTTCGAATGGCATCTTTGGCACTTGGAATCGCATTCCTGGCTACGTCAGAAATGAGAGCCCTCGCGAGGGACCTGCCTCGTATGCCGACAACACCACCCCCGGGCTGTACCACCTCCTGCTGGATGACTACACTCAATATGTGCCATTCCAGACCAGCAATATTCAGTCGCCTAATTGGCAGGCTGGTAGCACTTCTGGCTTCCCTTCTGGACTGAAGCATGGATCGGTTACGCCCCTCACTCAGACTGAGTGGAACGCCCTGAACTCGAGGTTCCCTGCTTGAAAAAGTCCATGAAATATCTATGCACAAGCATGCATCTTTTCTGTACATATTCTACATCATGAACTAAATGAAAGCGATCCTCTGATATTGAAGCCTCATATTCCTGGACCTGTGCCCTTCATTGCAACCCTGGATCATCAGTGTCCCGATAATGCCACATCCGTACACTATCAAAGTTGGCTATCAAGGAGACAACGTTGGGGTAATTGGCTGATATGATCAGCTTATTTTCATACGCTTGGTGAGGTTCCGGAATTGGAAAAGGCCTTGCCAAAGACATCTAGCACCCGCTTGTCATTAAGTCAAGACGCGTCGGTCGATGTGGCGTCCCTTGAGCGACCGAGCTATTGTGACAGATCCTTTGTAGCTGCGGCCTCCATCGAAGTTCAGTAACATCTTCACTTGAGGCGTAGAGAAACGCCTGGCGAGACAGGTAGATCATCTTACTAGTATTGCTCCAGCTCAGTAATCTTCAATACATTCAAGCTATCACGTTCGTGTTCCGGCAAAACGGTGCCGACAAGTACATTTGCGACCTGCAGCTCTTGCTGTGACCCATCACCTGTATCAATTGCGAAACTGTCTTAAAACCAACTGTTCTAGCCCGAAAGGTTACCAGCAAAGACCACAAACATGAGAGCTCCGAATGCTTTAAGACTCATGATTCAACAGGTCTGCACGGCAACATGAAAGGTTTGCCACGGTGAAAGATTTGCACGTGAAAGAATCAATACATGTGGCTTGAAGGCTCCCCGCCTCGGGCTTTTCCAGCCTGGAGGTTGTCTTCTTGCAGCGGATAGTACCGCGAGTGCGTGCAGGACACACGGGCTGATTGGTAGTGAATCGTATCCGGTTTACCGGAAGCGCAGATCCTCTACAACACTCGACTAATGCCTGTAACACTCGCCGAAAGAGCTCGGGGAAGTGCGCCGGTGGCTTTGTGCTCCCTCATTTCCAGTCCCAACGAAAAGCCCGAAACAATAGGCCATAGATTAGCCAAATTCTTCAATGGGAGCAAAAGTGTGGCGTTCGATGTCTATAGCCGCCCCCAATAGGTCGCCTGAAATCGCCATGTAAGCCTACGGCATCAATGGCTAACTGTTCATCCACACACATTGGCCCCGAATTGTGGTCGCAAGGAGTCGGCTCTGGGCCTGTGGGTTTTAAGGATCCCAGCCGTCTGCGTTGTGGCGGCTGAAGAACATCGTGGCGTGACCGCATGCGGTGATGATACTTGAGATGTTGTTTCCTCGGTAGTTCAGGATCGCCGGACATGGCAAGCTTTCATTGTTAGTGTCTACCTTTTGGCGTTCCATGAATCTCTCTACATTCCATTGTCTTTAACGTGCGAGATCTCGGGCCATGTGTCCCGTGGCACCCTGGCATTTAGTTTCCAGTTTCCGCAACGACTTGACGAATTGATCCAGTGTTTCGTGTTCAATGTCGACCTCGAAAGCCATCCGAGTTCAAAGTTCTGGAAAACCACGTCTATTCGAAGGCCGTCCGTTACAGAAGCTCCATCGATAGGGACGGGAGAATTGACAAGAAGTCGCCATGCACAATGAAAGCTTCACACGAGGGGATCCAACCCCGCCATACACGGACGCCACAAGAGCTCCATTGCTCATTGGCATGACTGCAGGGTTTCTCGGAATTGCATTGATTTTTGTCGCCCTACGTGTCTATGTGAGGGCCGTGGTGTTGAAGAAATGGGGTTTGGACGACACTCTCCTCGTCGTCTCATACGTAAGCACTTGCGTCCTATCAGACTCTGAATTCCAGAGTATTGGAAAAGCCAGACGCTAATTAAGCTGTACTAGGCTTTGACAGTACTCACTGGTCTTGTCTTTTCGATATGTGAGCTTCTTGAATCCATGGCAACACGAGGGAGAAGACTTTGACTAACGATTGGAAAGGCACCATATTTGGGCTTGGGATGCATGTCTGGACAGTTCCCATTGAAGTACAGCAGACTGGTCGCAGGGTGAGTTGGTTCTTGTAGATTGTGAATATGAATTTAGGAATCTGCCATGCTAACACCTGCTACAGGCAACGATCGCTGCAACTTTATCATACCACATTACCTTCATTTTCGTGAAGATAGCTTTACTCCTTTTGTACCGACGAGTATTTGCTCATCCCACGTTTTGTCTTGTTTGCGACGTAATGCTAGGCTTTATTGCGGTGTTTGGTATTGCCGTAGTGGTGTCATCCGTCGTTATCAGCGCACCAGGTTGGAGAGGCGACACCTTCGAGTTTGAGCGTTACGACCAGGGGGCGTGGTGGATGGCAACAGCTGCAGTTCACTTGGTGACCGACATGATCATATTCTTCATGCCGATTCCGCTTTTGAGCAGCTTGAATTTGAAACGAGCTCAAAAGGCTGCGCTGATTGTTACATTTGGCGTTGGATTCATGTGAGTTTGTGATTAATGCTCCGGTGAAGCATTGCTCTTACTGATTCTTTGATTTCAGCACGACGGCCATCTCTGTTGTCAGGATGTCTACTCTTACTCATGTATTCACAGCTGATGTGACGTGGGATGTGATTCCATCCCTGATCTGGTCCGAGGTTGAGCTCTGCTGCGCCGTGATTTGCGCTTGCATACCGACACTTCGGCCTCTGCTTCGGTCTCCGAGATCTACTTGCTCGCAATATTACAACCGACAACGATCTGAAGCAAGCGCTGAGGCGAAACTATCTCACAAGCGGATCAATGGGGGAACATTCGGGAGCCACAGTCAGCAAAGCATCCAAAATACAACGGCGATGGATCTTGATGTTGACATGGAGATGGGCTTTGAGGCGAACATGGAGCCGGAAATGCCACCAGAAGCGCCCTACAACCAGAAGGGGAACATTCATGGGTTGACTATTGTGACAGACATCACTCCAGCGATGCCGGCTGGAGAGTCGGATGATGGATCTGACGTGTTTGGGCCGCTAGATGAAGAGCTCGTCACACCATTGAGCCCGCCTCCGAGGTCTTATACCAGCCCTGCAAGGCTTCTTCCTCGGTCCCGGCCGTTATCAGGATCATCCAACGAGCAGTGAGGAGAGTGGCGCTCATGATGGAGAGAATAGGGGGGCCGGTTTGTTTAGCAAGGCGTTGGGGATCATTAGATTAAAGCAGTAATACCAGGGTAGCAGAACAGAGTCAGAGCAACAAGTCTTTGAAAAGTGATGCAGTAGCAACTTGTGAATAACATCAAATTGAGGGACACAGGTTACAATGGAAGAAGAAGGAACGGTGATAGGTGGCAGGCATCAGGGTTCCTTCCATAGGTATTGTTTCCAGAATGAGAAGGGCAAGTCCGAGGTGGACACGGTGGGCCAAGTGGACCCTGAAGAAAGCTACCGAGTCAGGAACATGTGGCCTCGGCGCACCTGCGTTTTTCGGGGTCTCGGTTCCGGGCGGGCCGCTAGACCTGATAAGTTGATCTGCACGTGCTGCGCTAAACCTCCGATAGAAGGCGGTGGACAGTCCGAGGCATTGGAGGTCTTAGATAAGCCGGCAAAATGGCAAGTGTCGCCCGCCCGCACGTCCCCGCCATCGCCGTCTCCGACAGGACACCGAAGTCGATAACTTTCCGCCCTATTCCACTCCTCCCGCCCGTACGCCTGTCCCTCTGCCACATTGGCTCTTGACGACACTCTTCATCTCCCTGGTATTCCACAATCGCCGATCTAAGCAGTCTCGAAGCCATCCGCACAATGTCAAACGGGAACGGCGAGCACACTGCCGCGGCTGCCAACGGTTACCCCGCCAAACCCCACTCATCCGAGTCGTCCCCGCGGAGTTTCCAGGAAGTGTGCCAAGAGCTGAAGGATAAGGTCGACGCTTTCTTAGCGGATGACCAGAAGACGGATGTTCTGCGCAATGTTCAAAAGCAGCTGCGCGCGTCAATGGGGGTCGTTGACGAGGCGTTGGCAAGATACAGGTGCGCGATGCGTGACACGCCATGTCTGCTCTTATCTTGTGTCCGCATGGGTTGCTAATGCGCCGAGGCAGCCTGGAACAGATTTCAATCTCCTACAATGGAGGAAAAGACTGTAGGTGCTCACATCTTGCATTCTCGACATGTTCCCTGCGACGTTGCGAATCGTTCGGATCTAGACATGGCACCGCCTTTACTGTCGCATACCGTCATTTGTCCTAGCCTGGCGTATGATGCTGACATACCACGTTGACAGGCCTCGTACTCCTGATCATACTCCTCGCCGCCCTCGCACGTCGATATCCTTCTCTCCCGAAAGCCTCCCAAACGAACGGGTCGAACGGCACGACTTCCTTCCCTCCTGAATTCCAGGCAGTGTACATCGTATCGAAGCACCCATTCGCCGAAGTTGACGATTTTGTCGAAACCACCAGCGCCGAATACCATTTAGACGTAAAACGATATGCCATGTCAATGAAAGATGGACTCGAGGCATACCTAGCAGACAGACCAACCGTAAAAGCCATTTTCGTAGGGACAAGGAGGACAGACCCCCACGGCGAGAAGTTGACAGATTTTGACCCCACGGACTCCGGGTGGCCTGCCTTTATGCGGGTGCATCCTGTGATCGACTGGCATTATGGTTCGTTACCAACCCTGTCATGTTGTGTAATTGCTTGCTGACACTTCTACGCAGCCGAAATTTGGGCAGTGAGTTGACACATTATGCCGGGCCTTTGCTACAGTGGCGTTATGGGCCTTAATTGTTACTGTTATAAGGATACTGACCGAACTCTAGTTCATCCGACATTTAGAAATACCATACTGTCCTCTATATGATCAGGTAAGATGATTGGTTCAGAGAACCCAACATTGGGTGACTGACATCTTCAAGGGCTACACGAGTTTAGGCGGAACGCAAGATACCCATCCCAACCCTCAGCTGAAGACTGAAGGACAGAACGGTGCGGGCTTCCGACCTGCGTACGAGCTTACGGAAGACGACGAAGAGAGATTAGGTCGCGATAGATGAAGAGAAACCCAACAACTTGTCGATATTGATTTACCGGATTCAAGAGAGTTGAATTGAAATCCAGAGTAGTGCATAATCATCATGGAGGAGCCTTTTGTATAGAGAGCGCATAGACTTGCCGCATCGCCACCAATCTACATTGATTCATCTTCAGCTCGCTGCGATGTTCGCACGAATCACAGCTGCCTTGTGGTGTCGGTGGGGGCTAGAAGCCAAAAGCTGACGGAGACAGGTTCTGATGCATTCAGTTTTGGACCATCTACGGTCTGTCCCACGAGAGATCTTTGCGACATGAGAGCTGACGAGAGAATACGAATTTGGCCCTCGAAGGCTTTCGTTTCCCTCATCTTCGCTTGGTGCTATGACGACGTCGGAATCGAGGATCCGCCACAACGTTCACATCGCTGGTTGTATCCGCTCAAGAGGCAGTCGATGTGTGGCTTTCTAGATCCCAGGAATTACCAATATGTTATCATCTGATTAGCTATCAACTACCATGCCCAAGAAAAGTGCCGATTTCTCCATCTCCATCCATGATCGGCTGTCTGTCACCGGTCCCCGCAATGTCACCAAGCCCCGCGCGGCAATGTGGACCCCATCGACATATTACTGGTGCCTTATCATCGGAAGCCTGGCCCTCGTCATCAGAATATCGGGTAAATGGCTCGAGTCACATCAATACGAACGCTGTCTGCTATAAGACGTCAGTGAGCCAAGGCGAGGTGCTTTTGAGAGGGCGCGGGGACTAGTGTCAACCTACAGGACTTGGAAGCACGCTTTGACTGGGCTTGCAGTGTATGCTCCGCTGTTAGTCTCATGGCCGGCGCTTGGCCATCATCATGATGCACTCTGGAGTTGGCTTTCCGGCGGCTCTGTCGATTATCCTTCTGCTCGCTCATGATGTTTCTGCAGGACCAACGGTGAATGTGTTGAACGGCTCCTATGAGGGCTTGTCTCTTCCCGGCTATCAGCAGGATATTTTCCTTGGCGTTCCATATGCACAACCTCCTACTGGCAACCTCCGCTTCAAGGCACCTCAAAGCATCGACTCAACGTGGAATGGCACTCGCCCTGCGACAGAGTATGGAGACATTTGCATGCAATACACCGTGAGCGCAGACCTGTCTGTCAACCTCTCGGCTTGAGTCATTGGTACTAACCAAACCTCTAGGCTCCTCCTAGCTACCCAATGTCTGAAGACTGTCTGTCACTCAACGTCATCCGCCCGAGCAGCCTCGACAGTACCGGACTCCTTCCTGTCGCTGTGTGGATTCATGGGTGAGTTCAATAATATCCCACAACAATCTTGCCTGAACAATGATGAACTAATTTGCCACCGTAGCGGCGGCCTATACGCAGGTTCGTCCAGAGACAACAACCTCACAAACTTTGTAGACCAGGCCTCTGCAGCACAGAAGCCTCTCATAGCCGTTTCCATCAATTACAGACTTTCGGCGTTTGGGTTCCTCTGGGGGTCTGACGAGGTGAAAGCCAACGGCAGCGCCAACAACGGTCTGCGGGATCAGCGCCTGGCCCTCCACTGGGTCCAAGAAAACATTGCCTTCTTCGGCGGCGACCCGCGCCGTGTTACAATTTTTGGTCAGAGCGCCGGAGGCTTGTCTGTCGGCAAACAACTCATTGCCTACGGAGGCAGAGATGACGGCCTGTTCCAAGGCGCGATCATGCAGAGCGGCGGCATGGCCGAGAAGTGGCCCTATAACGTGAAGGACCCAGCTGCCTACACCCGAGATCTCTACCGGAATCTGACAGAAACGACTTCTTGCTCCGAAGCAGCCAGTCCGCTCGAATGTCTACGCAACTTGCCTGTGGGGGTCATTTCCGCCGCCCTGAACGTGAGCGCCACGCTGGTGTTCTCGGGCACAGGTCTTGGTCCTTGGCTGACTCAGGTCGATGGCGATTTCCTCCAAGACGGGCCAATTGCGTCTCTCGAAAAGGGCCATTTCGTCAATGTGCCAATCATGTACTCCACCACCACCGACGAGGCAACCGTCTTTATGTTTGGTGGAAAGTTGGACACGGATGACGACTTTAGGGCTCTGGTCGCAGCAGGGGGTCCAGATGGCTCAACTGTCTCTGCTATTGAGCGACTGTATCCTAACGCCAACGGTACCGGGCTTCCGGCCGGGTACAGTCCGACTGCTGAAGACAATCAGCTATACGGATCTCAGTGGAAACGCGGAGTCGAGTTCCATACTGATGTCGTTGAGACTACTTCCAGGCGTATGACGCTGAAGGCCTGGGCCGCTGCTGGCGCGGAAGCCTATTCAGCTCGCGTCAACCTGTTGCCTCCAAGCACCACTCCTCGCCTGGGATCTCACCATTCCATGGATATCTCTTTCATATTCGACGCTCTTGACGAAGAAAACCTGGGCGAGTTACAGTTTGCGACGGCGTCGAAGCTCATGGGTAGGACATGGGCGTCTTTCGTATCGGATCTCAACCCGAATAATCATGGAGGTATACTAGGCTTCTTCCTTACTCGCAAACCCTGATCATCTGCTAACGCGATTCATTTCAGTCCCCGATACCCCTGTATGGCCGGCGTGGACTGCTGAGAAGTCGAACAAGACCAGCTCTAATTTCGTTTTCAACGCTAATAGCGATCCATGGTCTATGTCATTCATCGAACTGGATGATTATCGTCTGCGGCAGACAACGTATTTGGCAAGTGTCATGCAGAGTCAAATGTATTACTAGAAAAGAGAGCCGTAGTGGTAATTGGCCATCATTAGCTAGAAGATCCAAAAACATGTGATTGATTTAATCACAAGGTAATGTGATAATATCTGGTTCCCGAATCATACTCTAGAAGAACCTCTGCTTCCATCTGTTCCACATCTACCACTACCTGACGCCACATGCTCAGCTCATATGATTCAGCCATGAAGCCAGGGAGGACCATTGCGCAGAGATACTTGGTTCCCCTCGTCGAACTAAAGCCTGACCTGTTGACCAAGTCACCAGTCAGATCCCTCACAGTTGGTCCGACAGCCAATTGAGGACATAGAATGACAAGCATGTTCAGCCCAGGAAGGCCCATGGGAAACGTCGAAGGTGGACTCCAGCGCACTACCATTCCAGGTCGTATACGCTCTTTGAAAGGGACGTCATTTGCCTTGGCATCCGGGTCTACGCTAGAGGACAGCATTTCCTGGTTTATGGCTGTCTTACGGCCCTTCCCCTTGGCAGGCTCCGCTTCGCTCTTGCTTTCCGTCTTCTTCCCGCCCGACTTTTGCGAATCGATATGCAAACGCCAAAATTTGGCGTGAAAGGCGCGAGCTTGATCTTCATCGACTCCTGGACTCTTCAAACAGCGGGCGAGGAATTCGGGCGCGGGGAGGCGGAGGAGCAGCGAACCAGTCTCGGTGGGTGCGACGAGCTCGCCAGAAATGGCAGGGTTTCCAGACTGCAACAGGTCAGCTTTTCTTAGTGGTCGGTCTCGAGAATGAACTCACGTTGGCATCGATCCAGGTCTTTAACCGTTCATTGTCCCAAGTCGCAGGCATCTCGGGGTCATAGGACTGAGCCTTAGCCTTGGGTAGCAACACCCGCAACATCTCGGCATATTTCAAGGTGTTTTTGCCAGCGCCAGCATCTGGAAGACTGGGGTTGACACAGGCAAGCACGACAGTCTTGCAGCTACGTCTCCCCACGGGATCAAAAACGTGCTTCAGAATCTTGGTGAGGGAACTCTGCCGGAATGGTATATACGTCGGGCTCTTTGTCTTGCCCGTCAGAGAAGCCACATCGACGGTTGCTCTGCCCCTGATACAGTCCTTCAGCACCGAGAGGCTGGTGTTGATCTCCCGGGCCTCTTTCATGCGGTCGGGTGTGTGGTTGGCAATGTCCCGGGCGGCTTCTGAGCCTGCCAGGTCGATGAGGTAGAGCAGTCCGTCTTCGGCTGTTGGTATGGGACTTTCGATACGGATGCGACAAATGGCGTGAGAGCGAGATGATGCGTCATTCTTGAACGTTGATGCCGTGCGGCGGAAGGTTGCTGCCTTTTCTATGAGCTCAAGCAGGGCGGCTGCTTCGGTGATTTCGTGTTCCAGGGCACCGGCAAGCTGTGTGACACCGAAAGAATCTTCCAAAACGGAGATTGGTTTCCGAGAGTTCAGGAGGTCTAGAGCATCATATTAGGCGAAATAAGTAAAGGGAGATGTAATTCGACATACCAAAAGAAGAGTTGCCAGCCAGCTCAATGATGCACGCATACACTTTCCGCTCTCCCTCCAAACCGCCGCTCATGAGAGACTTTGCGACCAGCTGCTCAATCTCGCTGACTGTGAAGGTTTTGCCAGAGCCAGTCTGGCCATAGGCGAACACGGTGCTGACGCCGCCGCTCCATGCCCAAGGAACCAAAGGCTCAACCAGATCTCGGTAAATCTGCTCAGATGTATCATCTGGGCCATAGGCTTTATCGAGCTGTACTGAAGTTGTCTGTCGAAACGTGGTCAATTTAGATCACGATGTCTGAAGCTGTGGGGAGCAAGTCGTTGCTTACCGTAAGTGTGGGAGGTCCCAGGGGCTTGATGTGCTTTCGGATTTGGTGGATATCTACAGCGCCGTTGTTGTTGGGCCTCGAGAAGACGCCACGGATAAGGCCTGCGGACACTTCATCCTCCAAAATTGGCCGAAGTCGAGCTGCCACGATCATGTCCGGGTTCGAGGTGGTGTTCGGATCCTGTGCACCGGCCAAGTCTTTCTTGGCTACTTTGGCGCTGAAGGCCTCAACGGAGGCCTGGTACCAGGACGTATGTTTGATGTGATATTCATCCATGACGATTAATGTGCAGGGTCAATCGTGTACTGTAAAATAAGAAGAATTACCAATGGAACTCTCTGTCTTTAAGAATATTTCACATTGTATTTGGGACTTTCGACTGGGACTTATATCTCGTGAAGTTCAGTCTCCTTCACTCGTTGTTAAAATGTTCGCATCTCGTCTCAGTGGGTCTTCTGTGCTGGTGTGCTGAATCCAGGAGGGAAACGAGGGGTGAGGAGCACTATGGCCTCCAAAAGCCGCTGCCTAGATTCTGTCGCCCAAGCAACCAGGCAGACGACTTGCAAATATTGCGGTGAAACAACAGAATCTTTCATCTTGGAAACTTGTACGGAAGCTTTGGGTATTGAGATAAGGTAAGGGGGGTACGGATCAGGTATGCTGCATTAATAGATGCCTAGTCAAGGCTTCCATATTCTGCATGCCATGCACCTTTACAGCAAATATTACCCGGTCCCTAGTTCAAATACAGATGCCTAAATCAACAAACTTTTCATTGGCCATGGACTCATACTCGGGTGAATAGGGTACAACAATTTTACATAGGGAATTAACTACGATATCCGCTTCAACATTATCATTCCTTTGGATCGCCATCCATCATATCTGATTGCCAGGATTATTCACAGATTGTCTCTTCGGCCCTCTGGCAAAGGTGAAGGTTCTTGGCGACAGAGCCTTGACAATGCCCTCAGCGTCTTTCGCCGGCGGCATGTACTCTGTAGTGATGGCGACTTCTACATCCTTTCGGATATCAGTATTCTTCCGCCGATTGCTGTGACTTCTTCGGACGCTGTTTGATCTCGTGGTTCCGCTAGTACTATCGGCATGGTGATCACCCCAGGTCTTGACGTCTTGCATCTTGTACTCGTTCACCATGCGCTCTTCACTCTCGTTGAAGGTGATATTGGTGATTGGATATGCTGAAGGGGGTCCGCGACCCCGCCAGCTTTGGTTGCTACCGGCCCCGAAAGTGCGTATTTCTTTCGGTGTCGCATCGGTAAGCTTTTGGGATGATCGGAGCGAAGTAAGAAGAGAGCCGAAGACGGGCCCCAGCCATAACTTGATGATCGAGAACACCATAGGCAGGTTGGCGGTGATAACGGCGACGAATGTCTCACGAACAGCCCATGATCCGGCGAGCTGTGCACCGTTCTGAGGGTCCTGGGTAGGAAAAGATAAGTAAGAGTTCAGGTGGAACAGTAAATAGGGAAACTCACTGTGACAATCAAGATACAACGCAGGGTTGCGCAGACAACAACAAACAGTCCACCGCTAAAGAGAAACAGCAAACCCCATTTCTTGATAGGTTTGAGTCTTGCTTGCCACAGCATCGGCAAAGGGATAGACAAGAGGTAAAGATCCGTAGACACATTGAACGCCAAGTAAACCCAAACAACTTGGTTGGAAATGGCCGGTTGGCAAACATCTGTGATATGGTCATGTCAGTATAGGTTCCTTGCACCAAAATGTGGCTCGAGAGAAATCTTACTCCCAGGGTCAGGATTGATCTGCCAGTTCTTGTGAAAGGGGCGACAAGCGAGGAAGAGATTCATGATGACGACGATCCAACTGATGATTAGAAACCCGAAACCAAAGTAGATGCGAAGCTGGTAGCCACGACCCAGGCCGGCCTTGAATAGTCAATACCGGCGGAGTTGAACGGATGATCCGAGTTGCACACTTACAGTCAACCGTAAATAGAACACCAGCAGTGATGCCTTGAGCGACCACAATAAGACCGAGTAACTTGACCATCCACATAGCTGAATAATGGAGCCGACCACCCTGGAGTAACTCTAGATAAGTAAGACGACTTATCAAGAATGCGATATTCTTACCTCAGTTGATACTCCTCGCTGTCTGGGGATAGAGCTGCTCGTTGCTCATCCGTCATGGCATTATTCGCCATACCCTTCGCGACAGCCCCGACAGAATGCGCCAGCGCAGTCTCAATGGCATAGAATATCTGTAAGCACCAAAAGATGTCAACTTTCAAGGTCCGTATGCGGGCAAAGCCTGAAGGACTGACCGCACCGATCCAAACAAGATAGTCATCCGCTTGAAGACCTTTGAAGCCTACAGACCTGACCCTAGCGTAGGTCCTTAACATGGTAAAAAGAATGCCGACTATCAAGAGGGTCCACGCCTCTATTGTGAATGATTGCATAGCTGCTTGAGCAGCAGCAGCCGCCGCTTCCGCCGCGGCGGGGTCCATGGCGGCTGGTGACGACATACCGGAGTCGGGTGCTGTAAAAAAAAGACGCGAAAGAGATGAGATGCAAACAACAAAGTAAACGAGAGGAACCGGCCAGAAAATTCAGGAGGGGCCCGGAAAGACATGCAGGTTCCCGGGGTACCTACTTTGTATAATCTTTCGCCAGAACCCCCATTCTGGACGGAGCCCTTACTCGATTCGATCGACACTTGCCAAGCCCGAAAGACCGGCGCCGATCCACACCCATGGTAGTGGTTGAGCTCCATCCTCGCTGATACTCTCCAGCTGTGCCACCAGGAGAATGTTTGAGGTTCCGTCAACGTTGATCACATGTGCCGGATAGGGCAGCGGATGAAATCGCGAGTCCGAAGCGTTTTCAAGGCCCACTTGCTTGGTGAGCGAGGGAAACGCGGTGGCAGGTTCTTGATTGTCCAAACGATACAAACATGAAAATGTGCCTGCAGTCAACCGATTCAATTTGACTTGGTGGGAATTGGTGCTCAGCAAACAAAACCTGATTCTCTTGATTGACTATTGGCATGAATCCCCGGGACACCGAAAAAGAAAGAAGCAAGAACTTCGTTTGCATTCTTTCAACAATGCTCTGACTGTGCTACCCGCGGATTGGGGCACCCTAGGACGCGGTAAATGGCAAAGCATTCTTCGGCATACCAAGCTGTCTTGCTTTGTCACATCATTACGATGTTGGTTTGCCGTTACATCCATGGCGCGATCTTTGCCATTTGCAGTTGCCAACGATTGATCGCGCATTTGAGCATCATGCCATTGAAGTTTTCAGTCAAGCTAACAAACGGTTCAGTGTAACCCTGAACTTGAGAGAGTTTTGAAGGACTGAAGATTATCACCCTGCCCTCCCTGCTCTCAGGGACCTAGAAGTAAGACAGGCGCCGTGTGTGGGACGAGACAAGAGACTCGTTTTATGACCGGCAACCGAAGTTCGGACTTGCTGCGGTTTAGAAGATTGCATATATGCGACATAATTCCTTGATGCTACGCCGAGTCGGCCAACTGCATGTCAATGAACAGGGGTATTCTGTCATCCGAACCCTTCGGTCAACGGATGACTCGTTCATGGCGTGTGTCTGTACAAATGGTAGCATCCAAGCATTGAATATGGCACAACTCTTGGCGCGCACGTATGTAAGCCCTTGTCCATAAGAGTTCGTCAGGACCAACGTCTGGTTGGTTCAATATTTTGACAGCTCCTGATCCATAAACCGTTGCAGGTACGAGTAGCCCCGAGCAGAACATCCAATCACTAATGCAGCCGAGGGGGACCTGGAGGAATTCCCGACTTCCCCGACTAACACCATTTGTAGTCGGCCACTGTTATACGTAATCCCGAATGCAACCCTACAGGAAATTGATAAAACCAATATGCATCGCAGTTGTCGACCGTTGGAAGTGGACCCGGGGTTGGTTCTTCAGAGTTAAATAAACACTTTTACAGCCAAGCCTGCACTCAAACACAGAGTTAGGGGCTCCTAACCCTGCCATCACTTCTCAATCTGGAAAACCCTCGCAAACTGGGTATTTCCGCACGTAGTATCACCTTCCAAACAAAGAAGATCGGCAGGACATGGGATCCCGGGGAGCCATCCCGTTGTCGTCTCATTCTAATTTGGCGGCCGTTGGCGGACTACATTCCGTTAGTCGCTCCTGAGTCGTGCCTTAAGCAGAGGTTCATCAAGTTTACTTTCCCGGCGCGTCTCCGATTTTTTCGGCATTGATCAGAAAAGTCTCTCAGATTCATATACACTGCTGACGAGATGGAGAAGTTTGACTGCATTGTGGTTGGCGCAGGTAACCTATCCCAGGCCTTCGGGTTTACATGTCTCCATACAGATAATCTTCTCGTCGGGATACAATGGAGTGGCACAATTCCATAGACTAACATGGCATTGCAGGATGGTATGGCCTGGCCGCCGCAAAGCAGTATCACTGCACGCAGCCAGAGTCTTCGCTGGTTGTCTTCGACTCCCAGCCCACGCTCGGTGGCACTTGGGCAAAAGAACGCTTATACCCGGGTTTGAAAAGCAACAACATGCTGGGAACTTATGAATACCCTGACTTTCCCATGGACAGTAAGAGATTCAACATCAAGCCAGGGCAGCATATTCCAGGCGAAACTATCAGCATCTATCTCAAAGCATATGCCGACGAGTTTGGCATTACCGACAAGATCCGATCCTGCCACAAGGTCATTGTGGCAGAACATCAAGAAACTAGTGAAGGTGGCTGGTTCCTGACAGTTGCGAACTCTCAAAATGGAGAGATCCGAGTGTTTGCTCGACGTCTGATCATTGCGACTGGCTTGACGTCGGAACCATGGTTGCCCCATTTCGATGGTCAAGAGTCTTTCGGCGGTCGCATCTTTCACGGCAAGTACTTCCAGCAGAATGCGGATACTCTGGAGACGGCCAATACCGTGACAATCTTTGGTGGCACGAAGTTTGCATGGGATGCCGTTTATTCGTATGCAACTGCTGGCGTGAAGGTGAATTGGGTCATCCGCTGTAAGTCTACTTCAGGCGGAGATATAGACACCAACTCATACAATAATAGCGACGGGACATGGTCCTTGCTGGATGGCACCCCCTTATGTCACTCCACTCAACAAGTGGTTGGAAAAGCTTGCTAGTCAGTTTATCTCTGCTTCTCTCTCTCAACATGTTCTGAGCTAACGATACCTCAAACTACCCTAGACACACGAATGTTGACCTGGTTCAGCCCTTGTTTGTGGGGCGATGCTGATGGCTACATTGGGACGCGTCACTTTCTCCATGGTACTGCCATTGGGAGAACAATTGTCGATATTTTCTGGAAAGTGCTCGGAGGCGATGTGATGACGCTTAACGCATACGACTCCCATCCAGACACGGCAAAGTTGAAGCCGTGGACAGAGGCCATGTTCACAGGCACCAGCTTCAGCATTCTCAACTATGACACCAACTTCTTTGACTTGGTCAAAGAAGGCAAGGTCAAAGTCCATCTCGGAGAGATCGATCACCTCAGTTCTGGAACGGTTCATCTATCCGATGGAACCGAGTTCTCTGCCGATGTTCTGCTAGCTCACACCGGCTGGAAACACGTTCCACCGATCAAGTTCCTCCCAGAGGGTATCGAGACGGAGCTCGGTGTACCACATGCGCCTATCGACAACGCGCCTCGAGAAGATCTTGCTGGTCAGGCCGATCTTGTTGACCTAGCCGACAAGGAGATCCTGGATCGCTTTCCAAGGCTCAAGGATCAGCCGGTATGGAACAAAGACTACGTGCCCCTGACCGATCAAAAGGGCATCGACAGCGACGACGCAGTGACTCCTTACCGAACTCTTACCCCGTACATGCTTCATCACTTCATCGTCCCGCCATCAGAACGCTTCTTACGCCCACGTGACACAGCTTTCATCGGCATGGTTGGCAACTTTAGTAACGTCATCACGGCCCATGTTCAAGGCCTGTGGATCAGTGCGTACTTTTCAGGTCTTCTTGCCAGAGATCCTGCGAAGGCAGTCGGTGACGACACGGCGATGCAAAAGTTGCAATACAACACGATCTTAATGAACCGCTTCGGTAATTGGCGTTACCCTACAGATTGGGGCTCCAATAAGTGCCCGAGCTTCGTGTTTGATGCTGTGCCTTACCTAGACCTGTTGCTGAGTGACCTTGGTCTCGCCCATTACCGGAAGAGAGGATTTATGGCCGAGTGGTACTCGCCTTATGGGCCAGAAGATTACAGTGATATCAACGAGGAATGGGACGAGAAGTTCGCGAAGGGCAAGGGTATCGGTGCTACGTCAGGTCAGGAATAATCATTCATCTATGATAGTATCATACCTTTTCTCATTCAATTGTAACTATCGTTTACGATGACAGAACGATGATGTTTCTATTTTCTATCACCGAGTTTACATGGCTAACAACCCCGCTAAATCACTTTCCCAACCTTGTCTAGCCGTGGTCACTGCCCTGAGCCCATGAGCTATCACCGCCCTAGCGGAGCTTCACTTGGTGTCTTCGATGCGAAGAAGATACTTCTTAGCCGATACTTTGCCAGCTTCGAGGTCTTTAAGTGCTTTCTCCAAAGAGCCAAGGCCTTCGGGAAGAACCTCATAAGGATGGCCATTGAACCAGCCTTCCTCCAATCCCAGCCCGAAGAAGCGATAGAACATGGACCCAAACTCCTTGTCGCCCAAGGGAGAACCTAGAATTCCATTGGAGCTATGAACAGTGCCGACCATGGTGTACAAAACCTCGGCCTTAACATCGCTTGGGGAGGTCTGCAAAAAAACTGAGATCTTACCGCCAGGAGCCAGGGCCTTGGCAACGGTCCGGACTGTCCCTTCTTCGGACACTCCATCCAGAGCATTGAAGATGGGGTGTCCCCCGGCAGCCAGACGTATTTTCTCGAGAACGTGGTTTTCACCCTTGCGGTAGTCGATGACTACATCGCCTTTCTGCCTATTGATCAAGGTTTCCACGTATGGACTTCCACTCCCTGCGACCGCGATAATGGGATGAATGTTGGAGAGAGCCGCGAGCTTGATGGCAAAGGCACCAACAGCTGTTGCACCGCCGTTGACCAGAAGAGGTAAACCTGTCTTGGTTGGATTCCAAGGAAGCGGCAAATCGAGCTTTTGGTATAAAGCAAGAGCAGCGGTCATGGCAGCGAGTGGAACTGTGGCCGCCTCTGAATCATGATGTGTTAGCACAAACTTGGCTTCAAGCAAGATGGCATGCGGTAACTCACCCTCGAAACTGGTCTTGTCGGGGATCAGGAAGGTCGACTGAGCCGAAGCGATGGAGTATTCAGCGTAACTTCCATGTGGGGTGTTCATTTCGTGGAAGGCCGCAACCCGGTCTCCCTCCTTGAAGCCGAGGACACCTTCACCAATGCTTTTAACAAATCCAGCAATATCATCTCCATGGTTGAGGGGAGGTAGTTGCGGGGCCCAAATCTTAGGGACCTTCCAGTCTTTCGGATTAGTCCCAGAGATGACGGTCTTGATCGAGATCTGTCCGGGACCTGGGATTGGAATCGGAATGTCGTGGATCTCAACCTTGAGATTGCGGTCAAAAATTGCTTCTTTCATGATCAATGAATGTTTTAATCGTGTGATAGCTGAGATAGTCGGTACGATGATGTTCCGATGCTGCTGTAGGAATTTCTGTACTGATTCGAGGACTCTTGCCTTGTCTTATGTAGAAAACATCTCTCTCACACCTACCTTACCTTAGGTGATGTTCAAGGCAGTTCCTTCTCAAGATCAATCAAGTACCTAGACTCGCGATAACATGACAATGCCCAGAGATCCGGATGATAAATTACGTAGTGCTCGGAGAGATTCTAGCCAACGCAAAGCCTGCCTGACTTGGAGATCACATAAGCTCGTATTCGATCGGGGGAACCGAGATCCTGAACTTGCACATCCGACGGCCAAATTTTTGGCCTTCAATGATCGAACTCACTTCGAGTGCTCCAACTGAGACCTCGTACAGATGTTCTCGTCTTACTTACTAGGAACAGAAGAGATTCGAAAAAGTGGATAGGTAACTCCAAATGCAAGTGTTGGGGTTGGACCCACTATGAAGTTGGAGACTTGGAGACATCGAGTTAAGGGCTTCCAGTCTTCCCGAGAGACTTCTCTTCTCGAAAGGCGCCGCTGTTCAACGTTCGTTCTAGATGATGTGTTGGGGCTCACCATCTCTTTTTCATCTTGACAATCAGAACGATCTTTAATATGCCCATTGCAGGAAACGTACGTATCCACGAAATCACTCCGCCTATTGATATGAGCATATCGATGTTAGTACCTCTCCGCCTGCTCCCTAGCAATTTTCGGCTGTTGGCCGTTTCAATGACACTTATCCTACTGAATATTAATGAATCTATGATCTCTCCTTCCGGCATAGTCCTACTTCCGTAAATTGAGTAGCAGCGGGGTTTCCTGCAGGTTACCGAGTCGAATAAGGTAGACAAACCTACACCAATCCCGGATACGAGCCGATATCGAGTTTGCCTAACGGCATTGGCTGCCGCTTACCTACCGCAAAAATTTCCGTTCTCGCCAGTATAAGGAGCCCATGCCGGTGAACAACTAACTGTTCTGCCAGCAAAGTCAGCTAGCGAGCCAGGGCCGGGGCCGAGTCCCCGCTTACGGTCCGGGCCGTCAACGTCGCTGGGGCCAACCCCGGCAAAGCCCCACCCCGATAGCCGGCCCCTTGCCCGAGTATCCCGGCATTTGGAAATTGCTGGAAAGCTCGAACTTTCCCTCCCCACCCTTCCTTAACTCTTCTCTGTTACGTCACTGACACGGCATCCTACGGTCGCGTGCACGTTGCACGGCAGGAGAATTCGCCGCAACGTCGTAGCGTGGTACGATGGAAATGCGAGGACTCTCTTCGATTCTTGAACCCTTTGGAGAAGAAAAAATCCTTCACCCTATTTATCTTATAGACTATTCTCTCGGCTTCCTCCTACTCGTAAAAGTATCCATTTTCTAAGTTCTTAGACCATTCGCAATACTCTCTCGCGAAGCATCGCTACTTCAGCAATACTCGGGTGATGTCTCTCGCCCAGCACGTCACCCAGGCCGAAGGCTTTGACTACGAACGTCCCACAGAACAGATCGAATCAACTGGCAATGGCGAGGCTATCTTCGGCACACTCAACCCATCCAATACCGAGAGTAGTAGTGATGAGCCGCAATGGAGACGACTGAGCTTTGCGCCTATTGAGACCGTACGCGCCGAGAAGCCCATTGCTGCTTACAAGGTCTCTAACACCAGACGATGGGGTAAGATCCACAGTCTAGATTCTAGAGAATCTTCCAACCTCGGAACTAACGCCTTGCAGTACAAGTAGCGACTAGCATAGTGGCATGTTGGCTAGCTGCGGGCATTGTTTTCGGATTCGCGGCCCTCAAACCTGTTCTCATCGCCGAAGGTGTCTACAGCGATCTTTGCGATGCCAACGATCCGGGCGCGGTGGATAACGGCGACTACATTCCATGCACCGAGCAAGACCTCAGGTTGAACTTGTTCTTCATCGCCGCCTCTGTTACAGCAAATGTGTCTTCGCTGTTGGCCGGCTCTGTCCTTGATCGCTATGGTAGGCGAGTTTGCTGGATCGTCTCCTGCGTATGCCTCACCCTAGGCTGCATCCTCATGGCAGTCTCACGCAACTTCGCCTACTTTGACGGCTACTTCCTTGGAAACATTATGCTTGCCCTCGGTGGAACCTTTGTCTTTGTTTCCAGCTTCCAGCTCGCCAACGCATTTCCCAAGTACAGTGGACACATCATCGCACTGGTCACCGGGGCCTTTGACGCGTCGGCTCCTGTGTTCCTAATCTACCGTGCGGCATATGAAGCGACAGAAGGCAATCTCTCACTTGAGAAGTTCTTTTGCACCTACATCGCCGTTCCATTGCTAATTCTTCTGGCCGAATTCGCGTACATGCCCGCCCGGTCCTATCATTCAATTCCTCAGCTGGAACAAAAGATTGAGAAAGCTCAAGACGAGACGCACGATGTACATGAGTCCGATGATGAAATTGACGACATAAGGCAATTGCGCAAAGTACGCAGTGCCCGAACCGATCGACGGTTGTCAAAGCTTGGCCAAATTGAGGAAGTCGCTGGCGATGCTGAGCAGCGTGAAGAGCGTGTCAAGATAAACGAGGAGCGTCAGGAAGCCAGTGGAGTCTGGGGAGTTTTGCATGGTGTTCCGGCCCACCAGCAGATCCAGAGTCCATGGTTCATCCTCATCTTGCTTTTGACGATCGTTCAGATGTTGAGGATGAACTACTTCATCGCGACTGTCCATGCGCAATACCGATGGATGTTGGGCTCTGAGGCCGACGCCAAAGACATCAACCGTTTCTTCGATATTGCCTTGCCTGTCGGTGGACTGCTTTCCACCCCATTCATTGGGATTCTCCTCAATAATCTCAGTGTACCGGCAACATTTGGCGCGCTGACTGCCCTAATCGTTGCCATTGGCCTCCTCAATTGCCTACCCTTCGCGTGGGCGGGCTATGCTACAGTTGTCTTATTCGTCATCTTTCGCCCCCTATACTACTCGGCCATCTCGTAAGTTCAATCTTGCTGTCTTTTGAGCCACACGTTCGTGCGCTGATCAAGTTTCAAGGGACTACGCAACAAAAGTCTTTGGTTTCGCCACTTTCGGTCGTATCTACGGTACGATTGTGTGCGTCTCAGGCCTGGTAAACTTCGCGCAATCTGGGCTGGATGCTCTTACTCACGGTCCCCTACACGGTGATCCCACGCCTGTAAACATCACGCTTGGCGCATCAGGCACCATAATCGGGGCTCTTTTAACGGCATTCGTCGCTATCAAAGGTCGCACTTTCGTCACAGAAGAAAAGCCTGAGTTGGATGCCTTAGAAGAGAGACAGAGACTACTGTCATCGGCTGGACAGGGCTATGGCAGTCGGGAATGAGAGGACTTTCCACCAGGACTTTTTACCAAAAGAGCAGTTTGAATCAGAGGAGTTTCAGTACCCGTCTTGTAGGTGCACTTAGAGATCATGCAATAAACTAAGTGGGTAGAAGCCGATCGTCAAGCGTTATAGCTTCTACCGGCTACCTTTGAGGTCGGAAGCGATGCCACCGTGGGCACCAAAAGAGGCTTTTTGAAAGGTAGTCACTACCTATAAGCAACGTGAAAGCCCATAGAACGTAGAAGGAGAGTACATCTGGTGGACAGTTATGAATTGAAGGTTTCGCTTACCTTTGTCTAAGATCCATTTTCATTGAGAGGAAATTCTGAGCTATTGATACCCAAAATT